GGTACCAAGGATTGAACTCAGGACCTTGCACTTGCCAACCAGGCGCTTGTGCCACTGAGCTATATCCCCAGCCCCCAAAAAATATATTCTTATGACCTTATTACTTAGGTTTAATAACCATCAGCATTTTGTCTGGCTTCTTTCATCTGCCCTCTCCTTTTTTTCATTGGAACGTTTTAAAGCAAAACACAGATATAATGTCATTTCATTACAAATATTTGTGTAAAGAAATATTAACCACAGTGCTATTACCATACTTAACAGTAAATCCCTAATTTTATCTAAAATCCTATCTGTGTACAAATTTTCTGAAGATACGTCTAAAACATAAGTAGCTAGGCATGGTGGTTCATGCCTATAATCCCAACATTTAGGAGGCTGAGGCAGGAGGATCACCATGAGTTTGAGACCAGCCTGGGCTACATAGTGAGTTCAAAGCAAACCTAGACTACACAGTACAATCCTGTCTTAAACAACAAACCAAACAAATAAATAAACAAATAGTAAATTAAAACCTTTTGACAAAGAAGTGAGAAGTTTCTCAAAAAGCACTCATCTTTAATTATCATTGAACCTAAAAGAAAATCTTATAGTTTATTAATGTGCAAGAATTCAGTATGGGATGGGCATAGTGGTACATGCCTGTAGTCCCAGCACTGTTGGGAGGCTGAGTTAAGAGAATCTCAAGTTCAATCCTAGCCTGGACATCTTAGCCATTTGGCAAGATTCTATCTTAAAATGAAAAGTAAAATATGGCTGGACTGGGCATAGTGGTGCACTGCTGTAATTCTAGCTCTCAGAAGGCTGAGAGAAGAGGATTACTGGAAGTTTAAGGCCAGTCTGCACTACAGAGTGAAACCCTGTCTCAAAAACAAGCAAACAAAGAAAAAAACTGGAGGTGTAGTTCAGTGCAAAGGCCCTGGGTTCAATCTCCAGTTTGCTTCATATAATTGTAGGAATTGCATCTGTAACACCAATGCTTACATTCATATTCTTCATATTCCCCTCAGTCTTTCAAACATGTTCTGCCAGTTGTTATAAATTATACTAATAGCAGACATTTATGCCACATTTACTGTATGCCAAGCACTGTGCTTTACATTTGTTATTTCATAAGACTCTTAAGACAACAGATACATAGTATACCTACCTCCAATTGATGTAGTAAGTAGTTCCATAGTTAGTGTATGAGTTGAAGTTTGATATTTATATTTGTGTGTGTGGTACTGGGGATTGCACCCAGGGCTACTGTTTGGCTGCTGCACCCTGAGACAGGGTGTCAATTGCCCTAGCTGATCAGGAACTTGATATCCTCCTGCCTCAGCCTCTTAAGTAGCTGAGATTATGAGTGTATAGTCCTAGCTTGAGCTGGGATTTGAATTTAGATCTCCTGTTGGCTCTCCTGCCTTCTTTAGTATGCTTTAAGATGTTAATGAAATAGAATTTTAACCACTTTGCATATGTTATAAGCTCCCTGAGGATGGCAGAGAAAAAGGATTGTACTGAAACGCTGGTTATACCACCTCTTCTCTTAAACTGTTGATGGGGAGGGGCGCAATCAATAGCATTTTCCCAGAATTAAAACATAAACATTTTCTAACGTTACATCAAGACATAAAATTCAGAGATCCAGGAGAGAAGAACCTTGCAGAATTTTATGCAAAATGAAAGGGAAAGAAATATGGGAGCTGTATGGAATCCAGATTATCATTGGAGCAGAGGATGGGGAAGACAATAAAGAAATAAAGTCAGTGAAGAACAAGGAATGGTTTACAAAAAAAAAAAAAAGCAGTGTGTAGCTGCCAGGCATAGTAATGCATGACTGATCCCAGGTGCTGAAGAAGCTGAGACAGGATCACGGATTCAAAGTCAGACTGGGCAGTTTAGCAAGACCTGAACTTAAAATTTAGAAAAGGGCTGGGGATGTAGCTCAGCGATAGAGTGTCAGTTCCCCGTACTAGAAGAGAGGAGGGAGGAGGGAAAAGGAAGGGAAAAGAACGGGGGCAGGCTGATCAAAAAGGTTTAAATGATCTAAAATTTCTTCTTCTAAATTTCCTATTTTCTCTGTTGTCTGTCGTCCTCCAGGCCGTAAGACTAGAAAGTACTTATCAAAACAGAACACGCTATATGGTAGTGGTTTCAACTAATGGTAGACAAGACACTGAAGAAAGCATTGTCCTAGGAATGGATTTCTCTTCTAATGACAGGTATGGTACCACAAAAGTAACCTATTATAGTTGCCTGTTGAGCTATTACAAAATATCTTGTATGGTTCTTTTATTGATGTGCAAGGCATGAAAAGGCCTTTATGCCTCCTTTTTCTTTCTTCAGAGCTAAAAGTGGGGAATGATTCCTTAAATTCAAAACAGAATCTTGTATAATCATGCATCTTTGGATTTAGCTGTACTTTACATCCTGTGGCTAAAGATATCAGAGAGAATGTAGGGTTTTGGTTTTTTCTTTTGTTTTGTTGTTGTTTTCTTTAATGTAATTAACGTTTGAGGCTCTTCTCCTCCCCCTACCCCTGCCCCACTTGTTCAGGAGAAACCTTGGAAGGACTGTGGAATGTGGCTGCTAAGCAGATCTTTATACTCTGAGATAATAAGGCAGGCGCAGGAAATCCTGCCAGATGTCTCAAAGCATTGACTTCCTGGTTGAGGACTAGAATGGAACTGTGGAATGGCTAGGGGTGTGACCCAAGCCTGGGGAAATTTAGCCACAAAAAGAGCAGGAGAATGGGAGTGATTCTGACCGTCCTAAAGTTGGGGGTGGGGGAGAAAAACCTCATTATCACTGGAAAGTTTCCCAAACCATTGTTTACCTGAGCTTGAACATAGACATAAACCTGAAAATGACTTGTGGATTCACAGAGATGACAAGACCAGAGTTATTAGCTTGTAAATCACTTGTAGCCTGTAATTGTATGCTGTTAATTTACACAGACTTGTAAACCAGTTTAGGAAGCTTTTTCCTTCAGTTTAACTTCTGGTGTTACCTAAGCAACACTTCTTAAGCAGTAACTTTTCCTATAAGAACACCTACCTGTCTACAGTAGGGTTTTAGGAACTCTGATTTGGGTCTTCCTCTCCAGATCTATACTCTCTAATAACATTTGCCACTAGCAATCTGTGGATATTTAAATAAAAAATAATGATATGTACATAAATAGAATTAAAATGTCACTCTTAGTCCTAAGTAGCCACATTAAAGTACTCAGTAGCAATATGTGGCTAGTCGCTCCACTATGGAACAGTAGGTATACAGAACATGGCCATTATTGCAGTAAATTCAGCTGGACAGAACTGCTCTAGTTTGTATTTCCTTTGTTCAGTTCTCCCTGACCCTTCCCTTAAGAACCTTATAAAACAAGAACTGGAGCTGCATAGAAACTTCAGTTGATTCTTTCCCTAGAGACAGAAGGTAGTAATTCAGATTGTTCAAACCCAGAGTGTGAGCAATCAGGTGTCCAATCTTATCTCTTCCTTTTTGTCCTAAACTTTACCGGAAAGAATGCAAATGGATACCCAGTAATTTATCCTTAATGAACCATATCTGTCTACTGTAATCGTCCTGCCTATATCTGACAAGAACCACTAACAGAAATTTTAGTTTATAGTAGACAAAATAGAACATGGAAGCTAGAAGCTAGTTTTCATTCTGTTTGGTAAACTTGATATGTACTATGAAATTCCCATACATCTTCTGCTTGAATGAACCCCTTGAACAAGGAGAGAAATACTGCTGCTCACACAATCTAATGTCACTTCCTTCCCAGTTGCTATTGAAGAAACGTATATTATTTTGTATCTGAGAATATAGAAAGTTAGTGTTTCAAAATAGTATTCAACCAGGGGCTGGGGATTTAGCTCAGCGGCACAGCACCTGCCTGGCAAGCGCAAGGTCATGAGTTTGATTCCTGGTACCGGGAAAAAAACAAACAAACAAAAAAAAAACAAAATAGTATTCAACCAAAGCAGATTGTTTATCAAAAGTACAAATAGTTCTTCAGATATGGTGCAGCCATGTCCAAAAGCCTATTCTAAGATGTGAGGTTGTGTGTGTGTGTGTATGTGTTTCCATACTGGGAATTGAACCCAGGGCCTCACGTTTGCTAGGCACATGCTGTACACTTGAGTTACATCTCTAGCCACTTTTTTGTTTTGATTTTATTTTGAGACAGGGCCTCACTAAGTTGCCAGGGTTGGCCTCCAATTTGTAATCCTCCTACCTCAGCCTCCTGAATAGCTGAGATTACACAAATCTGCCACAGGATCCACCTAGTCCAAGGACTGCTTAATGCCAAGACCTACTGTTAGTTACAAAAACTTTGGAATATGTGATTTGTTCAGTTCTAATTCTGAGGTTTGCATAGACATTTTGAACACCAGAACATATTCAGTAGTCTAAAAGTGAAATGAAACAAAATTTAAAGGATGAACCAGAAGAACCACAAGTTTGAGGCCAGCATGGGGAACTTAACAAGACCCTTTCTCAAAATAAAAATTTTAAAAGGGCAGGGGTGTAGTCTAGATAATGTGAGGCCCTGGGTTCAATTCCCAGTAAGAGAAAGGAAGGGAGGGAGGGAGAGAGGGGAGGAAGTGAAAGAGGGAGGAAGGGAGGGAAGGAAGGAGGGAGGGAATGGTGGGTCTTTGGAAGGCAGCTAATGCTCACCACTATACCACCAGCATAGGCAAGAAACACTCCTGTTTGTTGGTTGGTTGGTTGCTTTGCTTTGGTTTGGTTCTTGAGACAGGGTGTCACTATGTTCTCCAGGCTGGCCTTGAACTCACTGTGTAGCCTAAGCTGGCCTGAATTTGCAGCAGTCCTCCTGCCTCAGCCTCCTAAATACCGGGATTACAGACATGCACCACCACGCCCTACTAAGAAACAGTCCTTAGAATTGAGTTGGATGCTGTACCCTGGACCTACCAAATGCAGATCAGCAGTACTCACCTGGGTGTTTTAGATAGTAGCCATTTGCAAGACAGCAATACAGGGATCTCATTCAATAAGTTTTCTTTGTTAAATACATCAGAAACTGATTAACTGCTTGCTTCGGCAGCACATATACTAACTTTGGAAGGAACTGACTAACCATATCTTTTCAAGAGCTCCTGAAGAATATATAAGATTAATAGTAATGTGATGAGAATTTCTTCATTCTAACACTTAGGCTACATTTTTGAGCATAGCGGCTTATCCTTTGTGTTGAAAGAGTTAATGAACAAAAGACTGCTTCCCAGAATAACAGGAAGTAACTTGTGGACTATTTCTTATCTTGCAGTAGCACTTGTACCATGGGCTTAGTCCTGCCTCTCTGGAGTGACACCCTAATTCATTTGGATGGTGATGGGTAAGAGCTTTCCCTTTTTACTCTCCTACAGAAAGCCAAGGGATGGTGTTCCATCTTAGTGCCCCATTCATTCAGTTGAATGGGAGGCCCAGTGTGCCCAGCTGAACTGACATGTCAGCTTCTCAATGAACCCTTTTAAACTCCTGTTTCATAAAGTAGAATAAAAATACAATTTGCCAGAGTCTCTTGCTTCTTTCCTTTTAGGCCAGCTATGGTAGGAATCCAGACAAAGAAGTGGTAGTTTGTTGGCTCACTCTTTAATCTAAGCATGTGGGACTGTTACACTGCTCCCCCAGAGGATGGTGTATTCTGTTTCAAATAACCTCTTGCAGCCTCTGCCAGCTGTCAGCCTACAGTATAACCCCTCTCCTATGCCAATTCTTTCCAATGACCCCACCACCCCCAGCTCCTGGTGTTTTTAGAATGTGTGCCCAAGAAACTGAGATATTTGCTCCATTTTATAAAACCAGGGTCAGGTTTGCTAAAAACCCACAAGATTTCTAAATAAAAATATTTAGTAGGACAGTTTGACTGTAGCTCTACCTAGGAAATTGTATGTAATCCCATAACTCCAATGTGGGATGCCATTCATTTTTGCCTGGTAGGTCCAACAATTTGTTGAAGCTTTTCAATCCAGTCCTATGCTCTGGTTAGCTATGCAACATATGATGATTCTTTCTATTGAGCCAGCTGTTGCTAGCCTGGGAAACAACCTTGAAAACTTACAATTGAAATAATCTATCCTCACTTGTGGATTTCTGTCTTGTTCTCTTTTGTTCTTAGTGGGTTCAGCGTGTCAACAGATAACAGAGTTCACATATTCAAACCTGTATCTGTGCAGGCAATGTGGTAAGATGACTTTTACTATCTCTACAATAAAATGTTTTTAAACGATTCTATTTTTTATATAAGACCAACATTTTGTGAGAAATAGTATTTGACATGGTACAATACGCTATGAAATGTTGTGTGATTGTTAGTGCCTAAAGGATTTTTTTGTGATCTATTTGTGTAGATATCATAGTTAAAGATGACCTAGAAAAGCAATTTTTAAATTTTCATAGCAGAAGGCCTTGAGCACTGGTGAACAAGTAAAATTTAGAGGTATCTTTAGGCTCTGGAAGAAACATAATTTATTAGCTGATTGGGACTGACTTTTATAGGGACATATCAACTAAGTTACTTAGCTAAGAGCCAAGTCTAAAACATCATGGTGTGTGGGTGTGTGTTGCTGGGGATTAAACTGCAGAGCCTTTGCACTGAGCTACATCCCTAGCCGTTTGTTTGTTTTTTGTTTTTGTTTTTGTTTTTTGTTTTTTTTGAGACTAGGTCTTATTAAGTCATTGAGTTGTCCAGGCTGAGTTTGATCTTACAATCCTTTTACCTCAGCCTCCCAGAGTTACAGCATGTGCCAGATTAGAATACCTTACTGCTGTGCATTAGCTTTTGATTTTTTGAGGTAATCAGGGATAACACTGGCAGAATTATATTATAGAGAGATAACTTTCCATTTAAACTGCTGAGTGTTTGCATAATACAAATAAAGCCTAGAAATATGTTATTGTTGATAACCTTTATTTACTATGTGCCAGGCATTATGCCAGGTGCTTTACATGGGTTATATTTAATCATTACACCAACACCCCAAAATAATATTGTTGGCCTCTTATGGATAAGAAAACTGAGGCTTTAGAGAGGGTATATAACTGGCCTGAGAGTATCTCATTCATTTAGATGAAATAGACTTATTCTTTTTTATTATCTGGAAAATGGTCTAATATAACCTGAAAATGATGAGACTATAAGTTCACAATTCATCCCCTAGACAGGGATTTAAATTTCACTTTCTTATTCAGCTGCCTGTTCTATAACAGCAGTAACCAAAAGGCATGGAATGGATAGAAGGCAAGCAAACTAAGAAATAAAGGACCCTGAAAAAGATTTTAGCCTTCCCTTTCTCCTCTGAAGTATCTGAGGTGCTAGCCCTTGAGTCACTATAGGGCAATTGCAGCAGGCTCATAGAAAACACACAGTGATCATCCCATATGTTACACTACACTGGCCTTCACCTTTGAATCTGTGTAATGAAACAGATTCTTAAGAACTTGACTTACTTTGATTAATAGAAAGCCTGTTTTTGTTTTCACTTTTTTGTTTTTTTTTTTTTCTTGGTTTTTCTCCGGTACCGGGAACCGAACTCACGACCTTGCGCTTGCCAGGCAGGCGCTTTTGCCACTGAGCTAAATCCCCAGCCCCTGTTTTCACTTTTTGAGACAGGGTCTCACTGTGTACCCCAGGCTGGCCTTGAACTCATGGCGATCCTCCTACCTCAGCCTCCCAAGTGCTGGGATGACAGGCATGCACCACTGTTTTTGGTTTTTGAGACAGGGTTTCACTATTTAACACAGGCTGGCCTCAAACTCGTAACTTCCTAAATGCTGGGATTACTGACATGTACCACCACTTCTAGCTCTAAAAAAGCCTTCCTTTTTAAAGACTCTGCAACTTTGTTTTTAAGAAAAAATAGGCTGTCATATTACCCCCTTATTAAGTTGGTAAAAAAATGTACTTTTTAAATTTACGTAGCATAGAGTTGATAAGAATTTAAGGAATAATCAATCATGAACTATTTGTGGAAGAATAAACTGGAGCAACTTTTTTGAGGTGGTTGGGAGAAGACAGGGTCTCTCCAGGTAACGAAATTTCCTGAGTTGCACTTGAACTTGCAGTCCTCTTGCTTTATCCTCCCAGAGTTCTGAGATTATAGACATGCAGCACCCCACCTAGCTCAGAGCTTTCTGGAGAGTGACTTGCCAACATGCCTTACTATTTTCCATGCCCTTTAACTTAGTAGTTCTACTAAAACTTTACTCTGAAATAATCACCATGTGTGTGTGCAGAGATTGTTAACTTTGTCAATGCTGTAATAATAGCAAAAAATATAAAGCAATTTAAATGTCTCAAAAATAGGAATCAGTTATGATATACCTATTTCAGTGAACATTATGCAACCATTAAAAATGATCTAGTTGAATATTTATTGATATGGAAAAATGTTGATTTACAGGGTATAAAGTAAAAGCAAGTTTTATATCAATTACAGTATGTGGTCATATCTTTGTTTATTATGAATCCATGGATAGACAAAAGAACTGGAAAGATCTACACTAAAATCTGAACAGTAATTATTTCTGGGTAGTAAGATTGCGGTATACTTTTGCATTTTGTCTAAAGACTGTAATTTTTTTGTTCATGCGATACTGGGGATCAAACCCAAAACCTCCTACATTTAGGCCAGCACTCTAGACTGACCACCAGCCCCAATCTATAAATGCTTTGAAACGAGCTTTTTTATGAAGGGAAATATAAAAAGACTTTTGAAGAAAAATATGTAAATGAATTGCGCGTAGAATTCTCTTACACTGTTTTTTTCCTTTTGGGAGTGAGATAATAGTTTATAGCTAATAAGACATTTTATTCAACAGACTGAATTTCAACCATGAGCTAGGCCTTCTTTTAGATACTTGAAATATACCAATAAACAAAATGTGGAAAGGTCCTTGCTCTTAGGTGATTTAATTCCAAGCATTTCTAGCTTAAGTTTTTCCCAGGTACAGTAGATAACCAAAAGATACTTTGCAGTTTGGTTTAACATTTTTGGGTTCCTCAGTTCAGATTTAGAAGGTTTAATTAGTCTCAGAATGACTAAAACTGTTTATAGAAAGTAGTTTACAGGGCCAGGGATATAGCTCAGTGGCACAGCACCTGCCTGGCAAGCATGAGGCCCTGAGTTTGAGTCCTGGTACCAAAAAAAAAAAAAGAAAGAAGTTCATGTGTGTGAATAAATGGTTCAAAAAGACTAGCAGACTAAAGCAGCAAAAATGATACATACCATTACATCAGTACTTCCAGAACATTAATGAACATGTCCTCATAGTTTAGCGACATCTATCTCTCTGGTGTTTGTAGAACCTCTAAAAATCATAGAGAATGTAGGCTTACATTGCCAAGAGAAATGAATCTTTGTATGTTAAACTATCACTCTTTTTGGTGATACAGCCACAGCATGGGTCCAACTATAGGATAAATAGCTCCGTAAGTTGTATTTTTCTAGACCAGTTTTTCAATTAAGAGTTTGAAATGTGCATAGGTATTGACTTTTTGGTAGCCCACAGTTCTGCAGTGCTCATTTTCCAACATATCTTTAAGGTCTGCACTACAGAGTTTACACAAGGCTTGTGAAGTCGCCAGAATCCATAACTACTACCCAGGCAGCCTATTTCTTACTTGGGTGAGTTACTATGAGAGCCATATCAACTCAGATCAATCCTCAGTCAATGAATGGAATGCTATGCAGGATGTGCAGTCCCATCGGCCTGACTCTCCAGCTCTCTTCACAGACATGTAAGTCAGCCTTCAAAACTCTTCTGTGTGTCGTACCGAGCAAGTTCCTCTCCAATCTCCTTTTTTGGGGAATTGCCCAGCAATAGTAGTCACCATCAATACCATACTTCAGCCACAGGCCGCATATAAAGAACCCCGAGCTTCCTGTTGCCTGAAAAGGCAAGAAGAATTTCATGCCTGAGCACAACAGAGTCCTCATAGTGAAGAACTCTAATGCCATAAAATCCATTATTCAGGTTATACTTAGTGGAAATTTGAATGTGAAGTAATTGGTTTGAAATTTGTGTTACATTATCTTTGAAAGGAGCATTCGGAAAGCAAATTAATGGCAAGAAGCTTTTAGAGGGATGTTTGGAGTACTTAAGAAAACAAGATGTTTCCAGTCAATTTAAAAGAATATTTTAGTTGTTAGGCTAATCTTAAACTTTATATTCAAATTTACTTTCTGTTGAGATTTCTTAAAGACAATTTATCATTCAAGTGTCTTACTCTTCTCCACTTTGCCCAAAGTCCTTGTCAGTGAGATTTTTATTAAATCTCCCTGGGGTGCTGTGAGTTGGATAAAGGGCTGAGGTGGAGCTAATGTTTATTTCCTTTTTAGGCTTATGTGTTGAAATTTCAATGGCTATTTTGGAAATTTCTTTACACTTATTTCCTCCTTTGAAAATTAATTAAAGTGTTTATTTTTCTCTGAGTTGATCTTTCTGTACTTGCAAAGTATTGTACAGCTAGAAAAGAATAACTATCTGACCTTACAAATAGGATTTGCTTTATGACTCCTAAAGTCATTCCAAAACAGTTCTTGATTTGTTTTAAAGGCTTTAATTAGATAATAGTCTAAAAAGTGGTTTTTACTAAAAAGATGAAATTTCGAAGAGTTGTGTACAGGAAAGAGTCCCAGTAGTTATTAGTACTAGAACTTCTTTTTCAGTGCCCCTAGACCTTTCAAAATCCCATAGTAACTAAAGATGCAAATTGGTGAAAAGTGTTATTCATGATTTTGTGTTTTACACCTGGCTGATGAATTTCAAAGGACTGGATGTCTAGCTAAAATTTTGAAACTATAGTACACCCTAAAAAATTGACAAATAAAAGAAATTGCTCATAATTTCTCTACATTCTTGAGCAAAAAAATGTAAAAGGTAGTTCCTGGCATCTAGTAAAGGGTCATTAAATATTAGTTCTTATGTATACTCTGATACCAATTTTAGATATGTTTAATAAATAAATGTCTCTCTGTTCATATGAAAAGAATGCATGGAAGCTATAGGCCACACTACTAATAATGATTATCTTTAGAGAAATTTTTTTTTGTATTTTTACATATTTTCCAAATTTTTTCAGTGAAAACAAAGAAGAAAAAGTGTGTGTGTATGTGTGTGTGTGTTGTAATGTGTTTTCCATCCCCTTCATCCTCCCAAAATTAACTAGAAAAGCCTATAAAAGAATGCTGAGTACACAGGGATGATGTATGCCAAAGTGAACTTAGATGCTCTACTATAAATAGTTTATATTTGAAATCCTAAGAAAGGAAAAGGGAATATACATCTGTAATGTCCACCATGTACATCTAATACTATGCCAGGCACTTCTTGTATGGTATCTCATTTAATCTTCCTAAGACTCTCAGGAGACAAGAATTATTACTGCCTTTACTTTACTGAAAAAAAAACAGAGACTCAGAATAGCAGGAACCTATTCTAGGTTACACCCAAACCACTCATTCTGAAAGAAGCACGAGGGATGGAAAGAAATATTACTAAACTGGTAAATACAACATTTGCACGCAGGTGCTAAAATTTGTTTTTACCAATGTCTTTTTTAATGGAATGCTAATATTATACATTTACTTGTTATCATTAGCTATGTGAAGGAAAAGGGAAGCAGAGATAAAAAATATTATTCTTAGTCAAGATATGGCTGCCTTGGCTGATTGATAGGGAAATGGCTCAGATATTGGTGTATTCTGTATTCTACAGAGTTCCTGAGAAGGTAAGAGCCCAAGTGATGTGGAACTCCAGGGCTGTGGGGTTAGAGCATCCATTTTTGGAAATTACCAAAGCTATTTTTGCAGCCAGTGATAAGGCTGTAGGCAGCACGGGCAGGCAGGATGCCTTAAGCCTTAGTCTATTTCCATCTCCAAATAAGGAGGTGTCGAGCAGATATCTTTCTTCAGTAGGTATGGGGAAAAGGTGAGGCAGAAAATGCTTTCTGTCAGCCTTACTCATACACTGCATAATATGAAATAATGCCTTTAGAGAGAGAAACATCCAGTTACATTGAGCCAGTACCTTTCTAGTAATTGGCCAGTCAGCTACTTAGTTTGATTATATAGTAAGGTTCCAAGAGTAATTTTATTTTTAGGAGATTCAGAAGACGAAAGAAAACAACACAATCCTGTAGGTAGAATCTTGGACTGGGTTGAGTCAGCATTTTGATTTTCCTGCCAGTTGGTATGATCATCAGCATGTATTTTAATGTGTTTGTTTCCTTCATCTGTAAAATGAGGATAACAGTTTCACAGAGATACTGTAAGAGTTGTCATGGAAAGAAAAGCATCTTGGATGGAAATACTGTAGGTAATTGATCCCTAAAATCCATTTGGGAGAGATGAAGAAGGCAAGATTCCTCCTCCTGCTTGTCTATTTTTTAGAACCACAACAATGAATTATCAGCATACAGTAGCATTTTAAACTACAGAAAACCCAATTCCACTACTGTACTTAGTAGTGTAACACAGTAAGTGACACCTAGGTGTACTTGAGGGGAAAGTATGGGAGCAGTCCTCCATACAAGAACCGCACTCAGTATTCCCAACTTGTCTTCACTCCTCCATGGATTTATGTACATGAATGTATTTAGGGGTTTTAAAACACATATAAGCCAGGCATGGTGGCGCATGCCTGTAATCCCTGCAGTCGGGAGGCTGAGGCAGGAGGATCGTTGCAAGTTCAAGACCAGCCTGGGCTACAAAGTGAGCTCAAGGCCAGCCTGAACTGCATAGCAAGACCCTGTCTCAAAAAGAAAAAAATTAAAATTAAAAAATAAGACACATATAACATCTTCAAGTAATAATTTCTACATGTTATATTCAATACATCCTTAAAAGAAACTTTTTAAATGTAATTTTTATTTGCCATGCCTCCACAATATAAATTTGAGGATAATATAGGCAAAGCTTGCCAGTTTGGAAACGTAATAAAATGGTACATCATTAATTTGTTTCCTCTTTTAAAAAAATCGTTATTTCTCTGTCCTCAGACCAACAGAACGTGAACGAACAGAAAGGCTAATTAAAACTAAATTAAGGGAGATTATGATGCAGAAGGATTTGGAGAATATCACCTCTAAAGAGGTAAGAGACCCTGACTTCTCAATGCTCCAAGACTAAAAGAAGGATAACCGTAATTGTGGGGCTAGAAATGGTACATGGTTGGAAGTACAGAGAGACTTTACAGAGATTAGTACAATATGTCATCTTTGTTTCAGATACGAACAGAGTTGGAAATGCAAATGGTGTGCAACTTGCGGGAATTCAAGGAATTTATAGACAATGAAATGATAGTAATCCTTGGTCAGATGGATAGTCCTACACAGATATTTGAGCATGTGTTCCTGGTAAGTTTCAGGGTGGCTTTAAATAGTGTGCTGAAGCTAGTCTGTATGGACTCATGAGGGGAGGAGAGCTGTTGTTAAACATTATTATATTTAAAGAAAATGTAACCTACATTCAAAACAAAGCTACTAAGTACTCAAATCTCATCATTTCCTAGTCATTTACTACATTTTAATATTATCTGCATTTATATCTATGCTGTGGTAGCAGTTGTGTATACTACTACTCTCGTCCCAGTTCCTCACTCAGTAACATCAAGCTGGTGGATTAAAATTGACTAGAGTAAGAATATTTACAGCCAGGAAATTGACAAATGCTACAAATCAGACTCCCCCCACCCCAGGTTGTTAAATATATCATCTTTTTCATACTACTCAGTTGTAAACACCAGTCTGCTATAGTTTTGTACAGTAGTTTTATAGTCTATAGTATATCTAAATAGTATGATAGGGGAGAGAGGGCTGGGATTGAATCGGGCCTCACATATGCCGGGCAGGTACTCTACTACTGATCTACATCCCCAGTCCTAAATAAGATGATCTTTAAAGCCCTTCTTTTAAGTCTGCCAAATGTTTCAAAGATCTGATATATTTGAGCAGAGCAGGTAGGAATTACTTACAACTGAGAAGCTGTTGGACTTATTTTTAGGGTGCTGGGGATCAAACCTGGGGCCTCATACTTGCTAAGCACATGCTCTGCTACTAATCTACATCTCAGCCCTGGACTTTTAAAACATGTAACTACACTTTGAATCCCCAAAGTACTGTTCATGATTATCAAAAAGTCAGTGACAGGGCTGGGGATTTAGCTCAGCGGCACAGCGCCTGCCTGGCAAGCACAAGGTTGTGAGTTCGATTCCCGGTACTGGAAAAAAACAAACAAACAAACAAAAAAAAGTCAGTGACTAAAAATTGTTCTTTACAGTTCCCAAGCATTCAGTGACGTGTAATTAGACCAAGGTGATCTCTGACAGACAAGTAAGGAAAAGTCCAAATATCATAAGGCCCATTTTATTGTCAAATATTGAAACATTCTGGTTTTCATCTGTACATGATAGCGGGAACAAGATTAATAAGGATAATTAAAATCAATGAGGGATCCTAAAACTTCATTTTTATTTACACTTCCCCCACACATTTTGACCAAAAATTTTAACAGGAACTAATCAGTTGATTTGAATTTCATTTCCTTTCTCTGTTAAGGATATTTATGAAGTTTGAAAAGGTTAGAAACTGGGAAATATGTACAGCTTTTGCAAATGGGAAGGAAAACAAGACTTGGAGGGAGCAATAAAGGGTAGGAGGAGGGGTCAAACAAAGAACGAAGATGTGTTAATACTTGTACAAACTCACCGCAATAAATGTAATCATTATGTGCTGCCAATACGTACTAAAAAAAAAAAAAGAAAAAACTGGGAAATAGGAAAGAAGAGGAATAAGTGTACAGGAACTCACTAAACTGGATTAACTCACCCTGAATATTCAAGAGTTTATTTCACCAGGCAATCGGACTGTGCCATTAAAGGCTTCTGCCCTGAGTTAATCTGTTGACGTGTGTGTCTCTAGAGTGATTCATAGTGAACTAAGACTATGAAATTACTCACACATAGATTGGAGGGAAACTTCTTCACAATACTTTCACTGGGTCTATATATGTTGCTGTTTCTGAATGTGGATCATACCAGACTTTCCATTTGTAAGGCACTGGGTTTTATTGTCTCTGAGGTATACTTCACGAAGGTTCAAAGAAATACAGCTTTTATATTGTGGTATCTATAGAAAACTTAGAGATCATTCATTCAGATAGGCTCGGCCCCCAACTCTCTCGAGTCCAGAGCTTCAGTTTTAGCACCTTAAAAGGATATGGACATGATGAATATAAAATACAGCCAGTTACTGACTGATCGACCTATTTTATTCCATCCATATTTCCTTAAGTCTCTGCCACTAATTCCTCCAGAGCTACTTCCTCTCCCCCTCCTCAAATGGTATAGTTTTAATGGTTTTAATGGTACTCTAAGCAGAAGAAATAATCTAATTGCTCTAAATTTATATTTCCATGTCAACTACAAATGTATCTGTTTTTATACCAGTAAATTCATCTTATGACTTCACAATTCTTTCCTGTTTTTTTCCTACTATAAAAATAATTTGTTTATTGTAGAAATGATGAGATAACAAGTAACATTTAATCATCACCAAAACAGATAATCATTGTTACCTTTTGTTACTGCCTTCCAGTCATTTTTACATATATGTGTATATTTTATATATATATATATATATATATATATATATGATATATGGACTTTTATTGTTTAGAGCAGTTTTAGGTTCACAGGAAAACTGAGAAGAAGATGATGGAGATTTACTCTGCCCCACACATGTATAGACACCTGCATGATCACATCCCCCACCAGAATGGTACATTTGTTAACAAATGATGGACCTATATTGGCATATCACTCAACCAAAGTCCATTACTTACAGTAGAATTTACTCTTGGTGTTTTACATCATATGAATTTGGACAAATTAGTGACAACTATCAACCACTACAGTATGGTACAGAGTTTTTACTTTTATATACATATTTATGTACATAGTTTTGAACAAAGGAAAATCTCTTCAACTTCAGATGTAATTCTATTCTGTAGAGAATGGACATTTTCTTTCCATTGTGAATATTTTTTTCTTTGGAAAAATATCTTCCAAATTGGAGAATCCTGAAATTTAACTCCTATCCATCAAGACAAGTACACAAACAAGTTGTCTAAACATATTGTACTTGTTCCTTTGTGGCTTCCTCTCTTTGTTTGTACTGCCATATCCTATGTCCAAACCCCTGTCTCTCCTCCGGTGAGTTTGTACACTGCTGTCTTTCCCAGCAATTGACATGGAAAAAGAGGTCTTATCCTAGCTGCAAATCATGGTGTTAATTTTCTGCAAAGTCATCTCATCTTGTGCATAGCTGCCATGCTTGGAGCTCGACCAGATTGTGTGAAGAGGCAGCAGGGTTTTTCCCTCCCTTTGGAAGAGTGCTCAGCTCCACAGCATACTGCACAGAGATCTATTTATTTGGAAAGGGATGCAGAGGGAGCATGAAGAACACAGTTTAAAAAAATCTTTAGTGAAAAGAGGAGACATTGACTGGTGGGAAGCCAAGATGCTAACTAGGAAAAAAGGTTCTTCTACACTCTTACAAGTGTATGGCTTCTCTGAGCTGGAAGCCTTTACCCAGCCAAATTTCAGTATCAACAGCTCTCCTGGAGGCTGTCCAGTTTGGCTGAGAAAAGCTAGATGTGAACAGAGACCTTTTACAGAAAAACAGGCAACTTTCTTAAACAAGGGAAATACAAGTGTATTGGACCTACAACCAGTAATTTTGCTCATGAATAAGAAAAATAGAATTTTTACTGTGGATTATCTTTTTCAAGATTTAATATAATCTTTTTAAGAGTGTTGTCTCAAACTGGTTACTTTTACTGAAAGATGCAGAGAAATAGTATTTGAGTAGGTGAGACCATAATGAAGTGGATTATTTTTATCATAGTCATGACTTTTGTCACTGCACTGAAAATGGGTGGCATAAACTTCTCTTAGAAAAGTTAATAGTTTATGCCTGCTTACCACAATAATGTGACTTATAACATTGAGGGTATTGGCATAATATGATAAAGCAAATAGGGATACCAGACCCTGGCAATTATATCATGTTGTTTTTATCCTAGCAGAACCCCCAGTACAATGCTTATTTGCTATAAATGTACTTTCCTCTTTTATTTTGCTTGGAACATTTGGACCCCAGGAAGGCTATTTCCTGAGAATAACATTTGAAAAGAATCGGTTACTTGGATCTGTAACCAGTGAACAGTATGAGGGAGCCAGAGTGAAAGATGGAAATGAACTTACTTAAAAATATGGGGGCTGGGGATTTAGCTCAGCAGCAAAGCGCCTGCCTTGCAAGCGCAAGGTCGTGAGTTCGGTTCCCGGTACCGGACAAAAACCAAAAAACCAAAAAAAAAAAAAAAAGGGCTGGGGATTTAGGTCTAGGCAGTGGTACAGTACTTACTTAGCATGTGCGAGGCCCTGGGTTCAATCTCTAGTACATATAGGCTATGTTTTTGCATAATTATGATACACAGAATATAGTGAAAATGCCTATGGAGTTACATCATTATAAACCTGAAAAGATGGAGATTTTTTTAAAAAGTGCTTGGGTCTGTGAAGAGCCCCAGGAGACTAGTATTCCTGGTATTTGTGTTGATGACAGAAAAGTAGTAACAACTTGACTCTAGTTTCAAATTGAACCTGAAGCAGCTCTAAGCACAGTCCAAGTCACTTTATATGGACTTCACTGAGTCAGTGACCATTGCCTTTAATTTATTTTGACTGTGGATAGAAGTCACTTCAGACTGTCAGAATGAATTCTGTCTGGACAGGTAGATAAAAACCATGGACTTTTCCCATCACATCAGGGTTTATTTCTATCCACCTGACCAGAGTTCAACAGAGGATTTAGATTTCTAAATTAAGAAGTGAAGTGGTCACATTGCCCATGCTCCAGTTTAGCCACTTGACCCTTATTGTTTGGTATCTGTCTCCTTAAATCCTACGTAGTTCTTTGGGGTTTGGGACTAGTTTTCTAAGGTTGAGCACACAAAGCCTTCAGAGCCTTCCATGTTTTTTGAAAACAAGTCAGCCGAGCCCTCATCTTTAGACGTCATTTACTGACTTTTTCCTAAACGGAACTTCAACTGAATGTCCTTGAGATCTCCCAGTTTAACAGTCAGATTACAGATGACTTGTAATATGATCGTAGTGTTTATATAACAGTTGATGATCTTCAAAGGGCTTCATTTATTTATTTGATCACTCATACAACAAACATTTGTTGATCCTCTGTTGTGCCAACCATGAGACTAGGCATTTGTATTGTCTGGTCTAATTCCAAAAGGAATGATGAGCATATCAGAGATACTCAGAAGCCAATGGAATAGGATGCAAAGGTGACCCCTGACAATTAGGAGAGATTTTTAGGAACATTAGCAAGCATGGTAAGAGCAGAGGCCTGAGTGCTGTGGGTGAATATTTGGGAAATAAGGAGCTAGAGAAAGTATTATATTTTATTTCTATGAATCTCACCTATGAAGGAAAAGGAGGAATAACAGCATGTAGAGGAGGATTTGGGATAGAGTTTTTCCATTTTAATATGTGATCAATTTTATGTATATAATTATAGGGGAAGATACCCATTAAAAACAAAGGACTAGAGTGGGAAGTGTATTCCATTTTACAGATAAGAAAAGAGAGTGCATGTATTTTAAGCGCTTTACCCTTTACCCATGGTAGGAAGACAGACAGAACTTGAATTCAAGTATTCTGATGCTAAATTCCATTTAGTGCATTTAATTCAGAAATACATATACTCTTAAATTAAAATGGTTACCCTTTCAAATGATATGAACAGATAGTTCAAAGATAGAAAACTGACCTAAACATTGAAAATTTGCTTGCTTTTACTTGTATTAGAAACACACATTGAAACTACACTGAGAACATTTCACACCTTCCAGTTTGACAAGAATTCAGAAACTTCACATTTTGTTGATAAAGCTACAGGGAAGTGGCACACTCAGTCTTTACTGGTGAGAATGTGGAATTGTTTCAACCTCTTTAGAGGGGAATTTAGCACTGTCTACCAAAATTTCATTTAACCTTCACCCCACAATCTCACTTCCACAAATAGGAAGCATTATTCATAAGAGATTACTTGAATATAACTATCATATCACTACCTAATGAAGTACTATGTAGAAGTAAAAAATAAAAATAAAAAATATAAAAATAAAAAGAATAAGAATATGAACTGTTACATGGAATAGTTTTGAAGCTATATTGGACAATAAATAGCAAAAAGAAGTGCAGTGTAATACCTCGTATGAGAATTGCTAATGTGAGTAAGAACTATGGGCCAGGGATAAGGTCCTGAGTTCAATTCCCAGTATAAAAAAAAATACATATATATATATGTGTGTGTGTGTGTGTGTGTGTGTAGGAACTAGCAGTAAATGTGAATTTGCTATATTTTTCAAAATAGAACATAAGGGGCTAGGGATTTAGCTCAGCGGCACAGCACCTGCCTGGCAAGTGCAAGGTTGTGAGTTCGATTCCCAGTACCGGGGGGGGGGTGCAGAATAGAACATAAATAGAATAAATCAGAAATGAATGAAAGCAATTATCGATGGGGATTGAAGATACATCAGTGGAATTGAAGCTACATAGGTAGAAATAAAACTTTCAAGCTAACTTTTTAAATAAACTTTTGACTTTTAGCTGTGCTCAAAAATTAAATAGAAAAGAATGGGAAAAGCATACCCTAAAATTGAATGCAAATGTGAGGCAAACTAAAAATCAAATGTACATCAAATTGATGAGTTCAGAGAAAGAAATTTAAGTAACTTTGAAGCATGAACTTTCATTATACCTTTAGTGACACATGACTAGGAAAAAAAGAAAAAATTTGAACTTAATAGGTTTGTAATTGGTTGTGGTGATGGTTTAATAATGCTGAATCTATTTTGTAAATGAGGTATTGGGAACCAAGGACCTCTGTTTAGGCTAGGGAGATACAGTGGTGGGCAAAAGAACCAGGTATGGAAGCACACTCTCACCCTATACATGAGAGTCTGAGGCAGGAAGACCAAAAACTTTGAGGCTAGCCTGAGCTACATAGTGACCTCCTGTGTGATTGATGATAGATAGATAGATAGATAGATAGATAGATAGATAGATAGATAGATAGATAGATACAGTGAAGAGCAAGAGGATGAGAAAGAACTCTATGGTATTGAATGAATTGCAGATAACGGTACAAGCTCAGGATTTTTTCCATTTTTACTGTGCTGAGGAATTGAAATCAGCAGTATTCTACCACTGAACATTCCTAGGCATCCTTATTTTTTATTTTGAGACAAGATTTTGTTAAACTGCCAAGTTCCCTTGAGCTTGTGACCAACCCTCTTGCCTCACTCCTGAGTAGCTAGGGTTATAGGTGTGTGCCACCACACCGGGCTTAAGCTCAATACTTTTTAGAAACATTTGTTCCCTAAAGTTTTAAAAGCAATGATACCTGATAGTTACAGGCATATCTAATTAATACCCAGATCTTGATTACAAAATATCATTCTTTACTAAAAGAAAACAGAGCTTTTTGAGGAAATGATGATTCTACTCACAAAGTGAATCTGGGACAACTTTTTGTACCAGAAAACGAAGAAATATTCAGAGACTAATGGGATCATATCAGAAGGAGTCAGCCTGATGAGATTTCCACTGGCCAAACTCAGGACAGCTTGAGTGTCAGATAATGATGGTAGTGGATCATAACATTATGTACAAAAGAATGCTAGTCCGGTCCAATGATACTCAGTGACTGAGCATATAGCTCAATGGTAGAGCACTTGCCTAGCATGCAGAGGCCCTAGGTTCAAACCCAAATACCATTAAAAAAGAAAAAAGAGAATGACACTCCAAAAGAAAAAGCGAGAAGAATTAAGCCCTGCTTTACAGAAGAATCACCACTTTGTAACCTGCAATAAAATAATTGATTTGGGCAAGACAGCAACTGATACTAAAACCAAAAGGTAAAAGTTATTATAAAACAGTATATTCATACAACTTCAAAGATGACTAATACACATAGATTACTAATTAATTATAAAGAAATCTCCAGTAGAGGAATATGGCAGACACAAAGAGCAAAGAGTTCAAACTCGGTGTGTCAAATAGTGGGACAAATGATGTTATGTGCCTCCTGATTTGATGCAGTAGAAAGTACATATCATCACCTTTATAATATTCTTACCAAAACGTTTGACCTGAATCTAATCAGGAAATAATCTGATAGACCCAGATTATAGAGCATTCTCAAAGATAACATATTTTAAGTCTACAAAAATGTCACCCATGAAAGATTTCCCCACCAAAAAGGCAGGGGTGGACCCTTCTAATTTACAAGAGATAATGAAGGTATGGCAAGTATGTGCAACGTATGATCCTTAATTGAGCAAATATAAAGGATATTTTGGGTACAGAACAGAAGTTCAGATATATTTTAGTATATGTGCTGCCAAAGCGAGCACCAGAAGTTCAAATATAGATAGTATATTTGATTGTCATTATATTAGTGTTATATTACTTGGATATTATTGCATTATGTAAGAAAATGTTCTCAGATGATACATGTTCAAAATTGTCATAATATTTAAATTGCTTTCAAATGATAAAATACAATATATAATAAATCAGTGTGGTAGTGCATATCTGTAATTTCTGCACTAAAGAGGCTGAAGCAGGATTGCAAATTCCTAGGTTGCAAATTCAAGGCCAGCCTGGTCTACCTAGGGAGTTCAAGGCTGGCCTGGATTAAGTGGCAAGATCTTGTATTTTTTTTGAAGTGATATATGTTAAAAGAAAAAGAAAAGAGGAAGATAATGTAAATACAGCAAAATATTACAATTGATATGTCTTCCAGATAATCTGTAGAACAACCCTCCCCAAGTTTGTCATTTATCCCTGTCTTAAAATTTTATAGATTACATTTCCACTTTTGTTTGATAAAGATATTGCATACTTTTCCACCACATGCACACATCCTGCCCTCCAACTCTTTAGATGCAATAGAACATAACAGAAAAATGTGAGCTTTGGAATCAGATCTAGGTTAAGTCATAAACGCTGCTTTGTTCATTGAACAAATGTTTATTGAGCACCTCCCAGGTTCCAGACACTAGCAAGATGCACATGTTGTATAAGGAAGCAAGAAACTCTACCCTCAAAAAACTTACATGACAGTAGACAAGATAATTAAGAAAGAAGGATACAATAGAAATATGTATAAGTAAAAATCATGATACATACTTGAGCAGAATATCAGATTACTATGAGTGACAGTAACATAAGACATCTAATTTAGGTTAGATGGTCAAACATCCTGCTCTATCACTTTGAGTAAAAATGATTTGAGTTTTATGAAAGTCAGTTATCTTACATGTAAAAATGAAAATGAAATTAACTTTCTCCCATGCTAGGGATTGAACCCAGAACCTCATGCACATGAGGCAAGTGTTCTACCACTGAGCTACATTCCTAAACCCATCTATCTATCAATGTCTGTCTGTCTGTCTGTCTATCTATAAATAAGGTCTTGCTAAATTGCCCAGGTTGGCCTTGAATTTGAGATCCTCCTGCTTCATCCTTCTGAGTAGCTGGGATTATAGACATGCATCACCATGACCAGTGAAGATAACTTTCTTACTCTTGTGATTTGTGAAGATTTGGGATATAATAACATATAAAACATCTGTGATAACAGAGCACTGAGTAGATATTATTGACCCTCTTCAAACTCTGCTGCTCCCCTCACAGTACTCCTTTTCAAGTAACTGTATTTGATTGATTTCCTAATAATATTTAACCTTGTCTTCTTCATTCCATAGGGCTCAGAGTGGAATGCTTCCAATTTAGAAGACTTACAGAACCGAGGGTAAGAATACAAAGCAATTTCTGACACTCTCATGTGACAAAAGTCCCTGTTTAATCTTCACATTTTCCCATCAAAGAGGTATCAGTAGGTAACTTTAATTTTAAGAGTTACTTCTAATTAATTCTAATCAGTTATAAAATAATAAAAATTAAAATGGCTGTCATCTATTTCAACCTCCAAGGAAAGATCAACTGAATTGGGTTGGGGGAGTTGTTTTATTTTGTTTGGTTTGGTTTTGTCTTGTTTTGTTTTGTGGGTACTGGGCATTGAATCCAGTGCCTTGTGTATGCTTTGCAAATGCTTTACCACTAAACTGTATCTCTAGTCCTTTTTTATTTTAAACAAGGTCTCACTAAATTGCCCAGGCTGGCCTTAAACTTGCTATCTTCCTGCTTCAACATCCTAAATAGCTAGGATTACAGGCATGCACTACCACACAAGGGAAGATCATCTAATAGAAGGGTTTCAAAAGCAATGTCCAAGTCTTTGGTGCAGTTTAAACTCAGACATAGCTTTGGGTCTCTATGTTGTGTAAGAGCACATAAAACTACATATTTTGGGTTCACAGCTGTTCATTCAACATTCATTGAGCATTTTCTGTGGATCAGGTACACTGTTCAGCTAGTAGTAATCCACAGACTAAAATTAGATTCAGTGCTGTCTTTTTGTCCTTTTGTAGCTGTTTAAAGACTAAATAGGTGAGGAATATATATAATGGGCAATCTCTGAAATTAAGAAAATTTACCTTGTGTTAAAAAAATTACCCCTAGGCAGTGTGGTTATTACAACTGTAGCAATTAAGACTACAGTGAATATTCAATAAGCCAAAAGCTATCATTGTTCCCTTTTTAATTCTTAGCTAATGCAGCTACATTTCTCAATGAACTTCACTTCAGGAGAAAGATCATCCCATTACAAAAAAAAACTGAACTAGAGATGTGACCCAGTGGTAGACTAGTACCTCCCTAACATGTAGAAGCCACTGGGTTCAATCCCCCACTCCATAAAAAAAGAGAGATGGGGTACAAAATCAACACACAAAGATCAGTAGAATTCTTGTTCACCAATAATGAAATCAGGAAAAATTTTATTCATGATACCTTCAAAAATTAAATATCTATGGCAGGGGATGTAGCTCAGCAGCACAAGCACCTGCCTGGCAAGCACAAGGTCCTGAGTTCGAATCCCAGTTCCCCCCTCAAAAAAAAAGGAAAATTAAATATCTAGTGTCAAGGAATCAACCTAGCCAAGTGGCAAACACCTGTAATCCCAGCACTCAAGAGCCTGAGGCAGGAGGATCATTGCAAGTTCAAGACCAGCCTGGGCTACAAAATGAGCTCAAGGCCAGCCTGAACTATATAGCAAGACCCTGTCCCAAAAAGAAAAAAAAAAAAAAAAAAAAGGAATCAACCTAGCCAAGGAAATGAAAGACTAGTATAATGAAAACTACCAAACTCTGAAGAAAAAAATTGAAGAGGACATCACTTGCTCTTGGGTCAGCAGAATTAATATTTTTTAAATGGCCATATTACCAAAACAATCTATAGTTTTAATGCAAACCCTATTAAAATACCAACAGCATTCTCCACAGAACTAGAGAAAACAATCCTAAAATTCATATGGAACCAGAAGAAACCTACAATAGCCAAAGCAATCCAGAGCAAAATCAATAAAGCACAAGGCATCACAATACTGGATTTCAAGTTATACTGCAAAGCTGTAAGAACAAAAACAGCATGGTACTGGGACAAAAATAGATTTGTGGACCAACAGAATAGAACAGAAGACACAGAAACAACCCCATGAACCTTCAGTCATCTGATTTTTGATAGAGGGGCCAAAAACATATGTTGGAGAAAAGATCGCCTCTTTAACAAATGATACCAGAGAAACTGGTTATCTGCATACAGAAGACAGAAACTAAATCCATATCTCTTACACTGTACTAAAATCAAAGTGGATCAAAGACCTAAATATAAAAACAAATTTTGAAACTACTGGGCGATAATATAAGGGAAATACTTGAAGCCATAGCCACAGGCAAGTACTTCCTGAACAGAACTCCAGTAGCACTGGAAATAGTATCAAGAATCAGCTGGGTGTGGTGGCACACATCTGTGATCCCAGTACCCTAAGAGGCTGAAGGGAGGAGGATCACAAAATTTGGTCACAGCCAACTTACTGACTTAGCAAGACTGTGTGTCAAAATAAAAAATAAAAAAGGGCTAGGTGTGGAGCTCACTGTGAAAGCCCTGGGTTCAATTCCCAGTAAGAATAAAGAAGTAAATAGATAAAAATTTAAAAATAAAATCAACAAATGGTATTATATCAAATTAAAAGGCTTCCGCAAGACAAGGAAACAACAGGGTGAAAAGACAACCTAAAGAAAGGTAGGTTACCATTTTTCTGAAAGAGAACTAATTTCTAAGAATATATGAAGAACTTTAAAAAAGTTACCCCTCAAAATAAATGACCCAATCAAAAAATAGTCAAATAAACAGAATAGACATTTCTTGAAAGATGTATAAGTGGCTAATAAGTACATGAAAGAATATTCATCATCTTTATTTTTTAACATAACTTTATTGAGATATAACTGGCATACAGCAAGTTGCACATATTTTAAGTATACAGTTGGATAAATTTTGACATAGGTAAATACTCATGAAGCTATTACCTTCCTTTTTGGCTTTTATTTTGTACTTCATATGTTTCTCATGTAAGACAAGCCATCTGATATTTAAGCTTCTGTGCCTGATTTACTTCACTTAACATTATGGTCTGATGGTGCATCCATTTTCCTACCACTGACTCCAGTTTATTCTTCTTTATGGCAAACTACTACTCCTTTATTTATAAATGTCACATTTTCTTTATTCATTCATCTGTTGATGTACATATACGCTGCTTCCAAGATATAGCTATTACAAATTTTAATGCTGTAGACATGAGTATGTATGTATAACTGTAATATAATGTCTTTCACTCTTTCAGAAATATAACCTAGAAGGAGAATAGCTGGGTCAAATGCAATTTCTATTTTTAGTTTTTTGAGGAATCTCCATAGTAATTTATATAGTGGTTGTACCAGTTTACACTCCCACCCCCTGCAGCCTCTGCCACATTTGTTATTATTTGATTTATTGATGATAGCCATTCTTTCTGGAATGAGATGAAGTCTCAATGTTATTTTAATTGTATTTCTCAACAATTATGAACATTTTTTGTGTATTTACTGGCTGTTTCTACTTCCGAATTGTACATTCATTTTAGATGCTCTATTTTAATTGGGTCTTCAAATTTTCTAATTTTTTGAGTTTTTTATATGTTCTAGATAGTAATCCTTTGTCTGAGGAATAGCTGGCAAAAATTTTTTCCTGTTCTGTAGATCATACCATCTGCAGATAATGATTTAACTTCCTTTCCTATCAATATCCCTTTTATTTCTTTCTCTTGCCCAATTACTCTGGCTAATGTTTCAAGAACTATGTTGAACAAGATGGTGATAGCAGACATCCTTGTCTTGTCTGATTTTAGAGGAAAGATTTCAGCTTCTCTCTGTTTGATATGATGTTGGTCATTTGTTCATCTTAGATGGCTTTTATCAGGTTGAGATAAAGACTTTCTATACCTATTTTCTTCAGGATTTTTATCATGAATGGATGTTTGCCAAATGCTTTTTCTGAGTTTATTGAGATGATTATGTGATTTTTATCCTTGCTTCTGTTCATCCGGTGTATTACATTAACTGATTTGCATATGTTGAACCATCTCTGCATCCTGGAGTTAATCTTACTTGGTCATGATGTATGATCTCATTAATGATTTGCTGCATTCCGTTTATGGATACTTATAAAGACTTAGTTGCTGATATAGAGATTTCTTGTATAGAGTTCCTTGTCAGTAATGTACTTGGGGCCTGGCTAACTATAGTCCTTTGCATCAATCCTAAGATCTGACCATCTCAGTTACTTTGGAAGGGAAAGATGCAGCAAAATTGACCCAACACTAAGTTCTCTGGGAATATGTTCTAGTGTTGTTAATGTCACAAAACTTGAGTCTTGGCTTACAGAGAAAACCCATTGATAGCAACAATTCTGTGACCCTGATAATATCAAGCAAATTGGCTACAGGAGTATCATCCAAAACAAATTGGATACTAACATACCATAAGAACCAGAGAAGAAATCCAATTATAGTGTAAACATTAAGACAACCCAGGTATTGATTTATAGATAATATGTACTAAATGTGACAGCTATATCTCCACTAATGATAGAAAAGAATTCAACAATAATTTTATGTAGTTAACTATCTAAAGATTAATAAAGCTTTGTAATTATACTATTAAAGATATAGTGAGTTGGGAATGAGGGAATGCAAAAGGAAAAATATGAAACCTTAAACTATATGATATGAGAAGGAAGAGAGAGAAGTGATACAAAAGATCCTATTGGGGAGTAGAAGAATGTTTATAGAGTTAATTAATTGTAACAGAAAAAACTCAAAATAAATAGAAGATAAAAGAAAAGAGGGAGAAAAAAGAAATTACATGGGAAATAAAAATAAGAAAAAAATAAAAGGAGAAAAATTAAAAGGGAAGAGAGGGGAAAATACAGAAAAAAAAAAGCTTAAAAAAGATAAGCAAGGAAAAGAGAGAAAGGAAAATTCCCCAAACCTCAATAAACTGGTGAAGAAACAAAGAGGAAAGGAAAGAAGAGAAAATTAAAGAATACTCAAAATGCATTAAGAAAAAAATTTCCCTGTGATTTGGTATGTGTGGTTTTCTTCCAGGTTTTACAATTTGGGGGCAGTGTCCAAGTCAAGATCTGAACCTGTCCATGCTGGTCAATAAAGCAGGCAATCAGGACCTGGGTCTATGCTGGATGCAGCCACCAGCAGGCAGTAGGAGTAGGGTGAGGTGACCAATGCCTTGACTTTCAAATCCAGAGCAACTCTGGCTGGGCCTGTCCTCTGACCATGGAGGTGAAGCCTGTGTACTTTAACACAAACCCTTCAGAGGATCTCTTTCTAGTCTGCTTTCTGACCACACTATCTCCTATAGCTGTATTTCACCCAGTCACTGTGGGAACATAACACTGGAAGCCCTGAAGTGAAACCATAGCCAACTGCTCTAAGTCCCAGGCTCAAACCATCAACTCTGTATAAATACCACATTTTCTTTATCCATTCATCTATTGATGGACATATAGGCCGCTTCTGAGATTTAGCTATTGTGAATTGTGCTGCATCAAACATTGGTATGCAAATATGTCTTTAACTCTTTCTTGAAGATATTGTATCTAGAAGGGGAACAGCAGGGTCAAAACTAGAGTCTCTATACTGATTTCCTTAATAGTTGTACTAGTTTACATTCCCACCAACAATGTGTAAGAGTTCCTTTTTCTCTGCAGCCTCTCCAACATTTGTTATTATTTGATTTCTTGACGCTAGCCATTCTCTCTGAAATAAGATAGAATCTCAGTGTCATTTTAATTTGCCTTTCCTTAATGGCCAGAGGTGTTGAACATTTATTTTTTTATGTATTTCATTTCATTTGTCCATTTTTTGATTGGGTCTTTTATTTGGGGGACCTGATTTTTTTTTAGCTCTTCATATATTCTAGATGTTAGTCCTCTGTCTAAAAAATAGCAGGCAAAAATGCTTTCCTATTTATCTCTTCATTCTGCTGGTCATTTCTTTTGATGTGGGAAAGCTTTTCAATTTGATGTAATCTCATTTGTTGATTCTTAGTATTCTTTCCTGTGCAATCAGGGTTCTGTTCAAAAAATCCTTGCCTATGCCTTCAAGAGTTTTACCTATTTTACCTCCAATGTATTGTTTCTGTTTTAACATTTAGACATTTGACCCATTTCTATTTTAGTTCAGTGCATGGTAAGACCTGTGGGTCTGTATTCAGCCTTTTGCATGTGGATAGCCAGTTTTCCCAATACATTTATTAAAGTGGCTATATTTCCTCCAGCATATGTTTTTGGCCCCTTTGTCAAAGATTGGGTAGCTGAATGTGCCTGGGGTTGTTTCTGCATCCTCTATTCTGTTCCACTGATCCACATTTCTCTTTTTCTTTTCCCCAATACCATGTCAGTTTTATTACTTTAGCTGTGTAGTATAACTTGAAGTCTGGGGTTTTGGTGCCTCTTCTGTTGCCCAGAATTTCTTTTGCTATTCTAGGTCTCTTCTGATTCCATATCAATTTTCTCTAGTTCTGTGAGGAATGCTTTTGGTATTTTGATCAGAATTGCTTAAATGTGTATATCAGCTTAGTTTAGTTTAGTTTTTGAAACAAGGTCTCACTCTGCAGTGCAGGCTGGTCTTGAACTCACTGTGTGGCCCAAGTTGACCTCTAACTTATGGCAGTCCTCCTACCTCAGCCTCCCAAGTGCTGGGATTATAGGCATGCACCACCATACCCAGCTCCTGTGTATCAGTTTTGGAATATGGCCATTTTGACAATTTTGGTTCTGCCTGTCCAGGAACAGGATATCTTTCCATTTTCTGATGTCTTCTTCAATCTCTTCTTTAAGAGTCATGTGCTTGTTTTTTAAATTCAAAAAACAAATCTTCCTAGTAATGGGCTCTGATACTCAGGCTGATCACGTCTCAGAAACATCTTAGCCATTTGGCCTTAACCACACAGTGTTGTTTAACTGTGTCTTTCTCTTTTTGTAGTCACTTTTTTGACTTTTCAGATTCAGCTTCTCAAGCATTTGGTTCTGAGGAGGAAACAGCTTCTTCAAAATATATTTCATATTCTGTTGTTGGAGTAAACTCTAGTAATGTCTAGGCATTTTTTGAGATGCTGCAGTGAGAGATAATAAAAGAAATTTTTGATAAATCCTTTTCTGTGTACAGTTCAGTATGAGAGAACCCTCAGACACACCCTCTGCTGTAGCAGCCAAGAATGCAGCCAGATAGAGTTAAAGGAGTTTCAAGTCCAAGTTTCCTCTGACCCTCCCAGCCCTGGCCTCGTTTGCCTTTGATTATTTTAGAGAGAGTAATAGAGCAATTTCTAACAATTTTGCATTTAGAAAAATAGGAAGAAGTTTTTTCTTTTCTATTTTCTTGGGGTACATGTCAATAGTCTGATTTTATACAATCAATTTTAGTGATAGAAATTATGTTAGGGATCTTAGGTTGATTCTTTGGAGAAAAATACAAGGCCATAATAAGAGACTATGAAAAATTAGATTGTGCTGGGCATGGTAGTGTATGCCTATAATCCCAGCACTTGGGAGATTGAGGCAGGAGGATCACCCTGATTTTGAGGCCAACCTGGGCTATATAGTAAGTTCAAGTCCAGCATGAACTACATAGTGAGACCCTGTCTAAAAAAAAAAGATTGTGTAACTATGCATAAACTGAAAGTAGAATTTAGGCCAGGTGTAATGGTGCATGGCTGTAATATCAGCTACCTGGGAGCTAAAGTAGGAGAATCATGAGTTTAAGGCCAGCCTGGGCAATATGGTACAACTCTGTCTCAAAATTTAAAATAAAGACTAGAGGTGTACTTCAGTGGCAGAATGCCCTAAGTTTGATCCACAGAACTACATAAAATAAAGAAAGAACTTTAGATGTTGAACTTAGCACATAGCTGTTTGCTTAGTAACTCCCTCATGTCCAGACATAACCAGATGTTGTCAAATAATTTCTTTACTAAACAGCCTCTTAGTTTTGGGGCTTTTGTCATTGTTTATTATATTTATTATATGGAGTAAGCATGTTTTAAATAAGAAGAACAGTGCTGGGAATTGGATTTAGCCTGGGCAGTAGAACACACTTTCTCCCTTGGTTTCCTCACAGGGTGCGGTATATCTTGAATGTCACTCGAGAGATAGATAACTTCTTCCCAGGAGTCTTTGAGTATCATAACATCCGTGTGTACGATGAAGAAGCAACGGATCTCCTGGCTTACTGGAATGATACTTACAAATTCATCTCCAAAGCAAAGTGAGTAATAGTCTTCACACATATACGAATCCTTGTTCCTGAAGCATCACATGTGGCTGGGGCCAAGCGCTCTAGATAACTTATTATTGGTACTCAGGGAAAAATGACATAAAGGAAAAAACTGACTGAGACTTTGCAATTATAGACAAAAGGCTAACGACCTCATACTTTTCTTTCAAGGGAAAACACTATTTACAGTGAAAAGAAGGGCTTGTTAGGGCTGGGGATTTAGCTCAGTGGCAAAGTGCCTGCCTGGCAAGCACAAGGTCGTGAGTTCGGTTCCCGATACCAGAGAAAAAACAAAAAAAAAACAAAAAAAAAAAGAAGGGCTTGTTGCAGCTGGGATTAGGGAGACATATGAAGCACCCCAGGCACAAATGGAGGCACTGCCTTTCAGACTTCCATGGGCGTAGGTCAGCATCAGAGAAGGAGTGGCCCCTTAAATGCTGTGCTCTGGGAACCTCCTGTATTTTAGACTGATCAGGGCCTCAGTTTGCTAATATAATGCCCTTAATCTGAACAACACTGTGTCATGGACATGGGGGCTGAAATTAAAGAGTAGAATTAGGTTAGGTGAAAACTGACTTAGATTTTTCATTACATGAGCTCGAAGCTGTCCTCTGAAAAACCCCAGTTGACAATATGCCAAAAAGATGTTTTCATGGGAGTAGATTTCATAATTGCATTTTACTCAGGTTTGTTTTGTCCAAGTTTGAGCACCTTTGGTGCCTGCAGGAATAGACCTGAAATTTGATGCACTAGCGTTGTCAGAGGTCAGTGGGAAAATATAGGTCACACGTCCCAACTTTCATGGCATTGGCTTCCTAACTGTAGTCTAAGTGAAAATCTTGTAGTACCATAAATAAAACAAATATTCCTAAATCATTTGAAATAAACACACAGACACACATCGAAGCCAACCTTAGGACATCAAAATTTGAACCTAGTTGACAAGGAAAAGGCTAATCTTTCCTCCCTCTTGAGACTGCTTCAGTTATTCCAAACCATTCTCTGTATTCCTGTAGTTTATCTGGCTCATTCATTTTGGCATGTAACCACATGTTTCTTTGCATTAATACTTAACTCACATGTATCTGTCTCTGGAAATAAGATTATAAGCTTCTAGGCAAAAGCTTTGTTTACCATCACAGAATGAGTAAGTCAGTGAACTGACTTCTCCTTAAGCTTACAAATACATATTTTCGTTTACTGGAATAGCTCTTTGGGAATAACTGTATAATCTATATACACTAATAATGAGCAGTAGTTCTTTTTTCCTAGAGTTTAAAATGTTCCTACTTAAGCATCTGACAAATGTAATCAGCAAATCCATAGTTTGTTCATACATTCAGCAAATATTTGAAGGCTTACTGTGTGCCAGACACTGTATTGTTAACAGAATTAGCATCACTGAAGAATGGTCATACTCAAGGTAATTAGCTCTGGCATAGTGAGATTCAGGTGTTTTGTTTGTATAGCTTTATGGTAGCTTTGTTTTCTCTTCCTTTCACCCATAAAAAAACAATGGGCTGAGCTGGGGACGTGGCTCAGTGGTAGAGCTCTTGACTTGCACGCACAAGGCCCTGAGTTTGATCCCCAGCACCACAAAAAAAGAAAAGGAAAGAAAAACCAATGGGCTAGCTGGGCAAGGTGGGGCATGCCTGTAATCCCAGCACTCAGGCTGAGGCAGAAGGATTGTTCTGAGTTTGAGGCCAGGCTGAACCACACAGGGACACCCTTTCTCAAACAAACAAACAAAAAAAAAATAGGGCCTGAGTGTGACTCAGTAATACAGCACATGTTTAGTGTGCATGAGGCCTTGCTGTTCAATCCCCATCACAGTGCCTGCCTGGCAAGCACAAGGTCCTGAGTTCAATTCCAGGTACCAGAAAGCAAACAAACAAAAAAAAAGATAGCTGTCATTCCTTCTTCCCTCACCACTGAGAAAGGCATATGGCACATTAAATGTACCCATTCATACTCTCTGGGTTGTATAACCAGTCTCTAGACAAGACGCCAATTGTGGTGCCATGAAAAGTAATATCTAGGGCTATGTCTGAGTAGAGGGGAAGGTGGGTTTCATTTGGCTTGTACCTTCCTCCGAGGACAGAACCCTTATTGGAACTTAAACTGGAAACAACCCATAACATTGGAATAGTGAATCATTGCCACACCTGTAACACAGGAGAGCACCCGCCATGAGTATGTTCCACAGCACATAAAACGAACTCCAGTCTCTACATTCAAAATGTCTCTACTCTCATTGCACTTAACATATTTAATTTTGTCTGTTTTCCCCCACTGAATCCTACCTATTAGGGTAAAGCTATGTGTTACTTATGTTTGCATCTTGGCAACTTGGCACATTGTCTTATATATGGTAAAATGCATGCTAAATGATTGTTGAATGAGTAAGAGGCGTAATGTTAATGCTGACTGTTATTTAAGAGAACACTTAAAGCTGCCTAACCTACCCTTGCATTTGTTTTTTTTTTTTATTTTTTTTTGGTTTTTCTCTGGTACCGGGAACCGAACTCACAACCTTGCGCTTGCCAGGCAAGCGCTTTTGCCGCTGAGCTAAATCCCCAGCCCCTACCCTTGCATTTGATCAGAGAGGTACATAAGTGTACCGAGATGGGGAGATGTCACAACATGAAAATGGGAGAGTGGGACAGGAGACTCAGAAGACTCTAGATCTTGGCTTTTAAAATGTACCCACTATTGCTTTTCTCTACTCTGCACCTCAATCCTCCAAACTAGGAAACATGGATCTAAATGTCTTGTGCACTGTAAGATGGGAGTGAGTCGCTCAGCCTCCACAGTGATTGCCTATGCAATGAAAGAATACGGCTGGAATCTGGACCGAGCCTACGACTATGTGAAGGAGAGACGAACAGTGACCAAGCCCAACCCCAGCTTCATGAGACAATTAGAAGAGTACCAGGGGATCTTACTGGCAAGGTGAGTCCATCAGTGACCATCTCAAGATGCTCCCTCCTTCATGCTCAAGAAGGAAAGATGAAGTGTTCATTCCTATAGCCAGATCTCAGCCGAATCTGGATGTGATTTTTAACTTCTATCAATCAAATTTTTAAAAATAAGTATAGGTGTTTAAGATTAGCATAGAAAATTAGGCACTTAATCTTCTGGCGGGGAAGGGGGTTGGCTTTTTTGAGGTAGGGTTTCACTGTGTAGTTCAGATTGGCTTTGAACTCAGTATGTAGCCCAGGCTGGCCTCAAATTTTTAGTGATCTTCCTGCCTCAGCCTTCCAAGTGCTGGGATTGCAGATATATACTACCATGCCCCCTAGTACTTAATATTTCAGGTTGATACTAGGTTGATATAAATTAAAAGATGGATATACTGTTTCCTTATTTCATTCTCAACTGGGTACAGATTTTAGTAAATACTTCTCAATGTCTTGTAAAGCTAGATACAACTGCCTTAGTAAAATGAATACCAATTATACCTAAGGTAATGCTAGACTTAAGTCAAATTCTTGGAAATTTTTGGCCATTTAAAAAAAAATACCCACCACTACTTTGAGTATTTTTTCCTTTGGTGCTTGGTTTCATTCAGTCCTCTCTAGTAATTTTGGTCACATGACAAATACTCATTATCCATTTGAGGTATTAAGATATTTCCCAGAAACAGCTGCTTATTTCTTTTTTTCTTTTCTTTTCTTTTCTTTTTTTTGAGACAAGGTCTTGTTATATATCCCAGACTGGCCTCAAACTCCTGGCAAGCCTCCTGCCTCAGCCTCCCGAGTAGTAGGATTGCAGGCATGTTCCACCACATGGCTCCTTTTTTTGAAAAGCTTTTAATGAAGTTTTTTATATATTATTTGCAAAAATGCAGACAATTATAAAGGGAAAAAATATAAGCTCAATACTCAGAGGCATTAGTTGACATTACCTATTTCTCTAGGCTTTATCACATATTTTGATGATTGTTTTCTTCACAAAAACTATTTTTTAGCCTTCCTTTACATCCACTGCTAGGTGTTCACTATCTTCCTGTATCAATAAGGCACAGCTGTTTCCAATAATAACTTGGTAGTTACTAAAATGAATAATTAATTCACTGCCCATTTGGGGGTGAAAACTACCTTCAGCTGCTCTTGGGAATAAGTATCAGACATAAAATGACTTGATCAGTTTCTTGAGATTCCACATGCTGAAATTCTGTGGATTGCTAGATTTTACTGTTTTTTCCACATGGACGCATTTTAGGTAAGTTTGCTAGGGGGAAAGCACAGCTGCGTAGAAGCAGTTGAAGCTGGTGCCAGGGTTTGACTCCAGCAAGTCTCATGACTTGGTCTTGACTCTTGAATCTGGGCTGTGTTTCCCCTGGACAAAATGTTAAATAGCTTTCCAGCCTATCCAAGCAGAGGGACCACCCCCTGAAGTATTGTGAAAATGTGGCCACAAAATAACATTATGGTTTCCACTAAAAAAAACCCTCCCTTTTACTCAGCATTTGGCATGACTTCATCTGAGTTGTTCTCTTAGGAGGCTGGGAGAATACTCAAGCCTACTCTATTTAAAAAAATTGGTACATCTTTGGGGTCAGATTTTGATGACATTTTTTGTTACATTTTTAGATTAAATCAAAAGGTAGGGCACAGTACTTCTTTTTGGCAAGAAAGAGGCATCTAAGGGTTTCACAAGACATAAATATTATATATTCCCAAACACACATATGACAGATGTTAGGCAATGTCCTCACGTGACCCGCTGAGAGGAAGGATACGATGTGTCCTGCCAATTTCAGTATTTACTCTGGAATCCCAGGCTACTGCAAGCTGTTGGGTTGAGTTTTTTTAGCATATGTGGTTTTTGTTACATATTAAAGGAACTTTGAAAAAATCTTAGATGAAGATACAAAAACATAATAAACCCCCAAATCACCCCTGCTCTTCCCTTTCTTTTTGTATTCCGTCCTGACTTTCTGGGCTTGATTCATGTAGGGAAGCTAAGCCGTGGGGAGGGAAAAACCACAGAATTTGAGTCGGTAGATCTGGTTTCCATTCCTTGCTCACCCCCTTGCTGCAACCTTGAGAAGTTACTTCACATTTCCCATGCTAACCCAACCCCATCTGTAAAATGAGCATCAAGAAAGCTACCTCACATGGTTATTGTGAATAAAAATGTGTGTGAATGTTTACTGTATATTGTTGGGGGTTATTCCTCATCAATTCCCATCCATTAATTCTCTGTTCCCAGAGAACACGTATGTGTACATGCTATTTATTTCTTCTTCCTTATCATCAACCACTACCTCCCACCACCAAAAACACACTAACTCCACTAAAAAGTGGAAAGGGAGGTGTTCCTAGAATCCCCTGGATTGTGATGTTTCCTAGATTTTAGTTTCTTTTTTTTTTTTCTTTTTTTTTTTTTCTGGTACCGGGAATCAAACTCATGACCTCGCACTTGCCAGGCAGGCGCTGTGCTGCTGAGCTAAATCCCCAGCCAAAAGGCTTCTGGATTTGAGAATATCTGCCTCGACTCCACTTTCTTCTTCTTTTTTTTTTTTTTTTTGGTTTTTTTTTGTTTTGTTTTTTTTCCGGTACTGGGAATCGAACTCACGATCTTGCGCTTGCCAGGCAGGTGCTGTGCTGCTGAGCTAAATCCCCAGCCCCTTTCCTAGATTTTAAATATGAGTCCAGTTTAGAGAGATCACTTAGACTGCTTTAAGCTGCAAGTAATAAAATACCTCCAACAATAAGGATCTTAACAAGAAACTACATACTCATATTAAGATTAGGTTAGTTCTAAAGGTATGGCATTGTAGCAGATCAAGGAACTTGTATTAGCGATACTGTTTGTTTGGCTTTTTTTGTTTTTTGGGTTTTTTTTTGTTTTGTTTTGTTTTGTTTGGTTTTTTTCTGGTACCAGGAATCGAGCTCACAACCTCGCACTTGCCAGGCAGGCGCTGTGCTGCTGAGCTAAATCCCCAGCCCCTATTTGTTTTCCTAAGTCCAAAGAGAAAAGCATTACCAGAACCAGGAAGGAGACTCTTATAGAAAAAGGGACCTTCAAAGATAAACAGTAACCTTCAGTGAGGGAGACACAGCTAGTCTGAGGGGAGTTCAGAGAGAAAAAAACACATCGCCCTAAGTCTCTTCACTCCAGTCTCCTCTTAGTGCTCCTTTTTAGCTAAACCTTGTGGAAGTCAGAAGACAAGGGATCCTGTTGAAGTGGTCTATTGATCAGCTGTCAGCACAGACAGCAGGATGCAGAAGCTGAAGAGCAGGCTTGCAGTGATAAATAGAAATATCTGCCCTAACACCACACTACAGATAGTTTTAAAAGTTGTCATCTCTCCTAACACAGAAGTAGCCTGATGATGATGTGATCAGGGACTTTAGTGTGCTCCATCTTTCTGCTCTACTTTCCTTAATTAATGTTCAGCCTTGAGGTTCCATCCTCATGATTGCTGTGTATCGCCCACATTTGTAGGTATCTACATGTAAATTAAATATGGCTGAAGGAAAAGGGCATTTAAATTAGGGAGAATAACCTTTCAAGCTTCCTATAGACTTCCCCTCCAGACTGTTGGGCCAACACTGGGTCTTGTCAAGGAGACAATGTACAGGATTGACTGAAACATTTATATTTTTCCTCTGGAGCTAAGAAAGTACTACATACTCTGACTCCCTGTGACGGTGAATAGCTAGCCAAGTCAGGCCTCTGACAGTAACAAAAGTGGTCATTGGGTATATAGCCATTAATGTATATTGTTCAGAAACCTTGGTACTTTAAATCCAGATGAATTGGGCCCAGCATACACTTTACTGGTCCCAAAGTCCTACAATAGAATCTGTCTGCTTAGAAGAGCAAAGATAAAAGAATCTCCACACTTCTGCGGTTGTCTGAAGCTTTGTCAAGCCTTGCGGTTTAGGTAACCATGAGAGTCAAATCCTTAGAAAAATCACACTCAGTTCTACTTCCAAAGAAATTCCACTCCCTGTCCAGGTGTTTTCTTCCTGTATTTCATATCTTCTCCCAGGAGGCATGTGGTGACTTTCTCAAGGAGTTAAGAACCTGTTCCTAGCATTTCTAGCTCTGTGGTTACCTAGTAGATGCTTATCTGGAGGTGACAGCTCTCTCTGAGCACTTTAGTTTACTGTTTTGGCCTCTTACTTTTTGTTTGTTTTTGTTTTTTTGTTTTTCTTCTGGTACTGGGAATCAAACTCACAACCTTGCACTTGCCAGGCAGGCACTGTGCCACTGAGCTAAATCCCCAGCCCATGTTTTGGCCTCTTAGAAGAGAAGTTTACAAAGTGACACCAGGTTCCAATAGTGAGTAATTTATGAATTGATTACAGTCTTTATCAGAGTGTAAGGGTGTAGGCCAAACTGTGAAAGCCCTTTCAAGAGACCTTTTCCATCGTTCAAAATATTATTAAAAGCTTGGAAATGCTTATTTAATATTCCCCTTTAGGCCTAAAAAGGAAGTGTCATAAAACCACTGATATTATGCGTATCTGGTTTTTCTTCTGTTTTTATAGTTGTGGGTTAGAAGTGAGACAGGAGGTGTGTATGTGTGTGTGTGTGTGTGTGTGTGTGTGTGTGTGTGTGTGTGTGTTGAAATTCTTCATTAAACTTCCAGCCCTGTTTATTTTTCTGCACTCTGATCATGTAAGTATCTGGCAGATTTATATTCCATTAGACAGTTTCAGATTTCAAGCAGACCATTTGCAAGCTGGACCATGTGTCTCTGGTATTAGATTCCAGTGTAAGAGGGCAAGGAAGAAAAACTGGGTAGTAGCCAGAGAGAATTTGTACTACATGTCCTCTGAAATGTCAGTTTTGATTCTTTGAAGGCTTCTCGCACAAGGACCTGAGGGAGGAGGGTTGACTTTTACAGTCGCTTTGCCGATAGTGACGTTGAAGTCAAGTTAGCTGATGCACAATGACCAGCCAGCCCCAGGGAACCTGAGAATGAAAGGACATGGACTCCTGGTCAGGTGATAGCCAAGCCCAGTTGATATTTGAAAAGATAGATAGATAGATAGATAGATAGATAGATAGATAGATAGATAGATTGATATTTTTTTTTTGGCAGTATTGGGGATCAGTACTACAGGATGCTGTACTACTGAACTACATTTCCCAACTTTTTTTGTTTTTATTTTTTTTATTTCTAGACAGGGTCTCCCTGAGTTTTCCAAGTAGAACTTGAACTTGTGATCCTCCTGCCTCATCCTCTGTAAGTGCCAGAATTAGAGGTGTGCACAACCATACTCCCTTAAAAGAATTTTAATAGCTTTTCAGTTAAATAATAAGCATGTAGACCAGGTATGGTGATACTTGCCTGTAATCTCACTACTTGGGAGGCTGAGGCAGGAGGATTGCTGTGAATTCAAGGCCAGCCCGGCTACATAGTGAGTTCAAGGCCAGCTTGGACTACATAGCAAGACCCTGTCTCAAAAATAATGGTAATAAGCATCTAGGTCCATGCACAGCTCACAGAACATACTCAATCAGTGCTTTTCCTTTCTTTTCTACAGACTCCCTACTATGCTAAAAAGCAACTACAAATAGTACAATTTCCCTGTAACTACTCTATTTTTAGCAGTATTTTTCTCTGTATAACTGTGTGAGAGTTGATATCTTAGCTAACATATCACAACTTTTAAAAGGATAAAGAGAATGAGGTGTCTCATGTATCTTTGCATTTAAATTTCCTTCTGGTTCATTTACTGATTATAAAGCCAAATTTTTCCCGAGTGGCTCAGCCCTCTCGTATGTGTCTGTGTGTTTACAAGAATCTAAATTCAGGTCAGAGGTCGCTCAAGAGGGGAAAGGATCTGAGATTTGGTTGCATCATCCAGGCCACAGACCAACTCTGAAGTTCTTTTGGCAACTTATTTAATTGCTGCCTGTGTGGAATAGACTGGGCAGGGGGTCAACTGGATTTAAAAGTTAACAGTTAAAATAATAGATATGACCTAATGTCCTAAATCTACCCCTACCAATGATAGTCCATTAGAATATGCTGCTCCAAACAAAGCATCGCTGGAAAATAGTCTAATGTTACCAAATAAAACTGATGATGCACACATACACCATGACCCATGTTTTCCAGTCCTATATATAACAGTTTTGAGAAATTTAAATGTGTACAAGGCATAAGGATGTCCATGGCAGCGGTATTCATAATAACCAAAACTGTTCATTACAAGATAGATTAATAAACTGTGACATATTCATTACACTCTGTGAGGTTTTTTTTTTTTTTTCTCTTGAGGATTGAACTCGTGACCTCTGCACTGAGCTATATTTCCAGCCCTTCTTTATTTCTATCTTGAGACAACATCCCACTGAGTAGCTGAATTGCCTATGTGGGACTCTAGCTTTCAGTCCTCCAGCTAGAGATTACAGGCCTGGGCTAGCACACTCAGCTCTATGCATTTGCACACAATGATTCTTAAAAAACATAATTTCAGCAAAGAAAAATTAGTCATAAAAGAATACATGTATGATTTCATTTACATAAAGTACAAAACTAAGGAATATATTCCTAAGTACAAAACATGTGGTGACATTTTAAAACAAAGGAAACGATGAGAACAAAATTCATCAGGGAAGTTACATGTGAGTGGGGTGCTAGAGGGAGGAGAGCGGGAAGGGAAGGGGCACATGAAGTACCAGTGCTCCAGAGGCAGTGGTCATAATGAGGATGTACCAGAGGGCTGCCTGCCGCTCTTCCTACAAGCCCTCCTGCAAAAATGAAAAAGGCAGAAGTACCACTAGACCAATCTTCAGTTTGGGGTTTTTCTTTTTCCTTTGTATCAGTTTCATTCCAGAGTCTCAACCTAGTATTTTCTGATGATTATCTGTGACAGGAAGAAAAGGAAATCCCTGCTGGGCAGCAGAGCTATGATGTCAGCTACTTCCTCTGAAACATGCACTGTTTATGCCCGTTAGCATTACTTTCATTCCCTCCTGACTTGTTAGTGACAGTAAGCATTTTTTGAAAACTATACTTTAAAAAACTTAAACTCCAAATTAAAAAACTGTACTTTGGCAGATTCTTGGGAATCAGAAATTTCTCATTTGCCTGTTGATTGATAAGAACAGATGTTCTTTTACATTATTAAAAGGCTGAGAACAGCTACCCTTGAGCTATCTCCCTAGTTACACACATCACAGATATGGTCTTAGCATGGAGAAGGAGAGGAATTGATGCAGGTTTGAACATCCTCATGGTAGGTGTCAGATAGAAATTAGAGAACACAGTCATATTTAGGTCAGGAACAAGGGTATCCAGATATAAAAAATTTGTAAAGAAAATGCATTGGCCTTGGCTAGCCATAATGTACAATTTTGGCCCCACTTATCCCAGCAGTCAGCCACTCACTTGTTTGAGATGTGTGATATGTTGTCTCCTCCTAGGGGTGGCTGGAGTTCATGCAGCTTGGGAAGGGTGAAAACCCCACCTCACTCAGCTAATTGATTAAGACTTGTCTTCAGAAACAGCCTGACCTACTTCCTACCTGAGAACACACCACTCTGCTGTGCAGGCCTGAGTCAGAGAGCTCCATCCAAACAGACAGACAGGGGAGCTGAGAGCAGGTGCAGAGTTGAGAACAAACGGGGTCATATTAGTGCAAGCGCATGACTATGGAGCGGATCCCAGGGAAAGTGGTTGAGGCCGAGTTTCCTATTCCACCCAGCAGTTAGGTAACTCTGCATCAGCTGGTAAGTCATGGAGATCTTATGTAGGATTAATGGCTAATGTGGAGGTATGGGAGGATGGTGGTCATTCTTGAACTAGAAACCACCGTACCACCATACTCAGTGACCTGGTCACCAAGCAGGTGATCCTGACCAACCACACTGCCACGTTTCTCCATTCGGCTGAAGCCGTCAAAATTGTGCTTCCTGTAGCATGTGGTTTGAAAGGAATCTCACCCCCACCTCAGACCTTCACTCCATGAAATAACTAAAGGACAGGTGTGAGACGGGATAGAGGGATGTCTTCCTTTGCCCCTCCCCGCTTTTATACGTGCGAAGTGTCTGCTTAGCATGATGGTGTTTATCCAAAGATCCTTCTGAAAATGGCCTGTCCTGTATGCTCATCCTCTTCTTTATGTTTCAGAGGATTTTCAAACTAACTACTACTACCTTCATTTGTTTGGTTTTTGGTTTGAATGTGTACATATATGTGGGGTTTGGTTTGGTTTAGTTCGGTTCGGTTCAGTTCGGTTTGGTTTGGTTTGGTTTGGTTTGGTTTTCTGTGTTTTTGAGACAGGCTCTCAGTCTGTGTTCAGGCTGGCCTTAAACTCATTTTGTAGCTTATGTTGCCCTCAAACTCACATTGATCCCTCTATCTCAGCTTCCCGAGTGCTGGGATTTCATCGCCCCATGCCTGGCATATGTGTGTTTTATGATACTAGGGACTGAAGTAAGGGGCACTATTGAGCCACATCTCTAGCCCTTTTTATTATTTTTATTTCAAAACAGTCTCCCTCAGTTGCCCAGGATGGCCTTGAATTTATAATCCTCCTCCCTCAGCCTCCCAACTACCTGGGGTTATAGGCATATGCCGTGCCCAGCAGAATCTGTTTGGTTTGGTTTGGTTCAGTTCTGTTATGCTAGAAATTAAAACTAGGGCCTCACATGTGCTAGGCAAAGAGCTCTACCACTGAGATACCAACCTTTATTTTCTAACTTAAGAATGACCACCAAGGGCTGGGGATATAGCTCAGCGGTACAAGCGCCTGCCCAGAAAGTACAAGGTCCTAAGTTCAATCCCTGGTACCCCAAAAAAAAAAAAAGTGTCTGAAAAATGACCACCACTCTCCCACACCTCCACATCAGCCATTAATTCTACATATAACCCCTTCATCTCTCAATCATGAGAACTTGGCAATAGAATCCAGTATAATATTTCCTTTTGTATGACTTGTATGTTGTTTTGGTTTTAGATTTTTTTTTCTGATTATAATTGGTAAATATGCTCATTTTTTTAAAGGAGAAGATGCTTAATTTAGTTCAAGTCACTTTTTTAACTTCAAAAATTGTAGAATTGTAGAAAGTAACAACCTCCCCTAGAAGTCTTTCTGCCGTCCTTGAAGAATCATTGTTACCAGTTTGATGTTTCTCCAGTCCTTTTCCTATACTTACTCTAATGTGAAATGTGTTCAACATACTTTTTCACTTAATAATGTAATTTGGAATTCCACTGAAATTCCTCATAACATATAGATATATGGCCTGTGATTTGTTTTGGTGTGTAATTTTTAGTATCACAGAATCTATCCTTGTATGTATACATTTGTGCACTTATAATAATCCTCCAAGAAAAAGGAAGAATTGTTGGCTAACAGGTTAGATTTGAAGAGATTCTTAAAATTCTACAGTTCACATTTTCACCAACAACATATGAGTGGGCTTGTGTGACCATACTGTTATCAACAGTGGCTGTTACCAGCCATTTTAGCTCTTGTCAGTCTGATAGGTAAAAAAGTCAAATGTCATACTGATTTATTGTTTCTGTTTTGCTTGTTTTTTTCTTTCTTTACTATTAGTTGAAGTGAAATTTGAAATGCTTATTGTCTAGTTCCATTGAGCAGTATCAAATCACTTTTCAGGTTAAGTTTATCTGGGAGTGATTTCCTGGGAGGGTGTAGACTATTTTCATAAACCAGAGTAAAGTGATTCCTGTGTATGTCCTCCACAGCAAACAACGACATAACAAACTCTGGAGATCTCATTCAGACAGTGATCTCTCAGATCACCATGAACCCATCTGTAAACCTGGACTAGAACTCAACAAGAAGGAGATCACCACCTCAGCAGATCAGATTGCTGAGGTGAAGACCATGGAGAGTCACCCATCCATACCTCCCGTCTTTGTGGAACATGTGGTCCCACAAGATACGAATCAGAAAGCCCTGTGTACCAAAGAAAGAATGATCTGCTTGGAATTTACTTCCAGGGAATTTCATGCTGGACAGATTGAAGATGAACTAAACTTAAATGATATCAACGGATGCTCATCAGGGTTTTGTCTCAATGAGTCGAAATTCCCTCTTGATAACTGCCATGCGTCCAAAGCCTTAATCCAACCTGGGCAAGTCCCAGAAATGGCCAACAAGTTCCCAGATTTAACAGTGGAAGATCTGGAGACTGATGCACTGAAAGCAGACATAAGCGTCCACTTATTGCCTATGGAAGAGCTAACATCTGGACTGAAAGACCTCCCCATGTCCCCTGATCCTGAGTCGCCAAGCCCCCAGCCTAGCTGCCAGGCTGAGATTTCAGATTTTAGTACAGATCGCATTGATTTTTTTAGTGCCCTAGAGAAGTTTGTAGAGCTCTCTCAAGAAACCCGGTCTCGATCTTTTTCCCATTCAAGGATGGAGGAGCTAGGTGGAGGAAGGAGTGAGAGTTGTCGACTGTCAGTGGTAGAAGCACCTCCTTCTGAAGTGACCGCTGATGATCAGAGAAGCAGCTCTTTAAGTAATACTCCTCATGCATCAGAAGAATCTTCAATGGATGAAGAACAGTCTAAGGTAAAAACTATCTTTATAGTTCTCCACCTAATGAAGTTCTCACAAATGTGTTAGACTTTGTTATGTTCACTTTAATTTTGATGTTAGAAAAGATTTAGGAAGGCAGTAAGATAATCTAGCTGAGATTTATTTGAAAACTTAGAGTTTAAATTCTTTATGTCAATTTTGAGGATTTTAACTTTTCAGGCTTTTGGTGTCATTGGAAGCACTTCTGAGTGGGGCTGTTAGAGGAAAGAATTAGCTAAAACAAACGTCCTCACTGCACAAGTAGAGGTCCGCTCCATAGACCTCTGCAGCTCAGATCAAATCTCACCAGTAACAAAGTGTCCGGGATACAGATGCTGCCCGAATAAGATCTGTGTCTCTGTCACAAGATGGATTTGTTAGGGGAAATTCTCTTTGTCTCAGAAGATTCAAAGGCTCGGCTTATGTAGTCACTGGAGTAGCAGTTGATTCCCTTGCTGAGTTCTTGCTGTTAATGTTTCTGAATTTTTCATCTCCCGTCTTGTGTTACTCAGGAATCAAGGGTTGATTTGGGAAGATGAATTTGAGAGCATACAGGATCCTGTGATTCTTTTCAATGGCATATGAGCTTTTATATAAGCCATTTCAGAGTACTAAGTGTCATCAAGTATGTGTCATCTAACACACTTACTCATTTTGACACTTCTGAAATGAGGATATGTATTGTCAACAAGTGCCTTAGATCAAAACCGTGCAATAGTTGAGGAAAGTGACAGATCTACTCTGAGATAGTAAAACTTCAGTTAATGATTTTAACCAGGCTGACTCGATTCTTGACATCTCCTGATCTTTACTTACATTTACCTCACCTTGTCCGTCACTCATGTGATCCTTCTCCTTAACCTATCCCAAGCACTCTTGCTTCTGCTTCTATCCTTCTCCCCTTCCCAAAGCCTATGTCTTTGTTTTCTTCTTACTGGGAAGTCAGAGTGCTTCAGCTCTTTGTTGAACCAACAATGAGTGCACTGACACTGACAGAAATAGCCTTGCAGCAGAGTTGCTGGTCATATGAGAACTCCCTCCATGGCCAGTGCACACGCCAGGCCCCTGTGGCTTCTCTCCATGGCAAGTTCCCCTCTTCCTGATGTCCTGGCAGATTTCCCCCAGAGACATGACTGACCTTGTTAGTTTGTACTAGCTGAATTTCTCTTTTGAAGGAGAAAGGCCAGAACAATTACTAGGGAAATACTGCACTTTGAAGTCATACATAAAAATGTTAACAAAGTGGATAGTCCTAATGATCCTACTTTAAGAGGTATCTTGGTTACTTTTGTCTTGTTTCTGAGACAAAATACCCGATGCCCAAAATTCAGGAAGGAAAGGTTTATTTAGCTCAGTTTGTAGAGGTTTCAGTCCATAATCAGCTGGCTTCAAGGCAGGGTGGCTTGGCACAGGGCAATACTTCAAGGCAGCAGAAGACAGCAAAAGCAACAACAGCACAAAGGGGGTGGGAAGAGCAAGCTTCTTTTCCTCCCTTGTATTGTAATCAGGCTACCACACACACACACGGTCTGGATGAATGTAGCACTCACACCTTCTCCCTGCCCTCCTCTTGCTCAGGCTCAGGATATTTCCAAAGTGAGGACCTTGGCCTCCTGCTGAGTCACTTGGTTAAACTTCTAAACTTCTCAAGTTGGTGCAATGTATCAACCATTACAAGAGAGATAAAGGAGCCATTTCCAGATTTTGAATTTTTTAACAACAGGACCTGATTTCTCACTGGGCAGTTTTCTTTGGCCTTTTCCAAATATATCTGGGAATTTGTAACTGGTAGAAGGACGAAGTCTGAGAATGGTAGCATTTGCTGAGGCACATAGCTGCATAAGCTGAGTAAACCTTTCCCAGAAGGCAGCATGTGAAATTTAGGATTGTGGAGTCTGATACATGAATGCACCTGGATGCTGTTGCTAAGAGTTGTAGTGGGGAGGATATGGATGAAAGATAGGAAGAGAGAAGAGAGAAATGAGTTTCCAGATCAGATATTAGGTGACAGGTGTGTCCATCTTGCCCTGTCTCACACTGGGCATATCTAAGTTGGCCACTGAGCCTTTGAATGAACTCTTCCCCTTAAATAAATGAAGGTCAAACTGAACGTTGATAGGCTAAAGGAGAAAAGTTTCACTTTGGCCAGTATGGCCTGATTCCTGGAGGTTCATAGTCCTAGGAAAATACAGATTGTAGGAGCCTCCACAGTTACTTGCTGTTCAGTTTAGAGCAAGATACTAGATTAGAATACTGCTTGAGTAAAGAGAATAGAAAGTTTAGTAGGCTGTGATACAACCTTTGATGAATTTTCTATCTCTGACCTTGATGAATCCCAGTTGGTTTGTTTGTTTTTTCTGGTAGCCTGACAAGACAGATGGAAAGAGTATGGTACCCAGGCACTCTGTATCTTTTGCTCTCATAGTTACTTTCTTCTGGATCAGAGGATTATTTAGCAGAACACTAGCACTGATTACGCTATAATTTGCCCTAATCTCATTGCTTTCTCTACATAGGCAACCTCAGAACTGATCAGCCCAGACATCTTCATGCATTCTCATTCAGAAAATGCAATTTCAGTCAAAGAAATTGTCACTGAGATTGAATCCATCAGTCAAGGAGTTGGGCAGATGCAGCTGAAAGGAGACATGCTATCCAACCCATGTCATACGCCAAAGAAGAGCACTATCCATGAGCTGTCCCTTGAGAGAGCCCAGGCCCCAGAGAATAAAGCTGGGCATATGGAACAGGACGAAGGTTTCTGCACAGCCCATCCTGAACTGCCCAAAGACTCAGGGAAGTGCAACCCAGAAGGCTGCATAACCGTACACTCCTCCACAGTAGACGTGGAAGAAGAGGAGCCAACTGAAGGGGAACATGAGCTCCGGGGCCCAGGCCTGCATTCAGGTGCCAAGTGGTACCCTGGGTCTGTGAGGCGAGCCACCCTGGAGTTCGAAGAGCGTTTACGGCAGGAGCAGGAGCACCATAGTCCTGCCACTGTGTGTACCTCATTGTCCACTCGCAAGAATTCTAAGAATGATTCTTCTGTGGCAGATCTAACACCAAAAGGGAAAAATGATGAAGCCACCTCAGAATATTCATTTGTTCCCAGGGAACCAGAAATGAGCAAGGGCAAAGGGAAATGCAGTAAGTCTGAGGCTAGTTCACTATCCCAATGTGAGCAGAATGCCGTTGTTCCAGCACTCGAGCTGCTGGAGTATCACCCGTTGACAGCAACTCAGGAGTACCCAGGGTCAGACATTAGAACAAAGCGAGGAGTCCCAGAGGAGCAAAGAACTGTGGTTTCATGCCAGGGGTCTGAGACGCAGGCCATCCCTCTTCCCAAAAGGATAGAAATCATTGAGTATACTCACACAGTTACATCACTCAGTCAAACTGGGTCAGAGGGTGAAGTAGCCACAAGGGAAGAGAAGGAAGAGCAAGGACTAAGAAAGGTAAAAGTGGAGAAGTCTGTCACTACGCTGTGTGCACTGGATGAAAATCTGAATAGGACTCTGGACCCCAACCAGCTTTCTCTGCACCCACAAGTGCTACCTCTGCCTCATTCTTCTCTGGAGCACGACAGACCCACCCACCCGACACCCGTGTTGAGCATCCTGGAAGACAGAGGCAACAGCCCATTGACAACCCTGGAAATAACAGCACCTTTTATCAGTCATACAACCCACATACCACCTGCCAATTTGGATTACCTGCATCCCCAGACCATGGTTCGCCTGGAAGGTTGCACAGAGCAAAGCAGCACAACAGACAGTGAGCCCTCTGCAGGACAGGTTAACTGGGAAGAAAGTCAGAAGGGCCATCTCTCTGGTAGTGATGAAGTACCACACAAGGGCTCCCAGTTAAATAGCAAAGACCTAAGCAAACTTGGTGACAACATTGGGGAATTACAGAAAAAACTAGACCCATCACAGGTAGCCTGGCAACTCACACATAGCTCTAGTAGTGGAAATATAAAGGATCTCAGCCACAGCCCGCTTATGGTAAAGGAGTGTGCTGAAGAAGTCGAGTCCCGAGTGATGTTCCAGGCAGGGATCACCAAACCATCCCACATGAGGCGCTCGGCTTCTCTAGCCAAGTTAGGTTACCTGGACCTCTGCAAAGACTGTTTACCAGAGACAGAGTCTGTCTCCTCTGAATCCCCTCATCTCAAACTGCTTCAGCCCTTCATCAGAACAGACTCAGGCATGCATGCCGTGGAGGCCCAGGAGCCCCCAGAAAACCCAGGTGCCTCCCAGAACCCAGAGCCCACTAAGTATTTTATAGAGCAACTCAGAACAACAGAGTGTATTGCACAGAGCAAGCCAGTGGCGAGGCCCCTTGTGCAGTATGCCAAAGAATTTGGTTATAGTCAGCAGTGTTTGCTCCCCGGAGCAGGACGAGAATTGACTAGTTCTGAAGGAGGCCTTCCTTTGCTACAGACCCAGAGACTGCAGGAAGCAGGCCCAGCTCCAGGGCTGGCTGTGGCGCCCCGTCAGCAACATGGCAGAACTCATCCCCTTAGAAGACTGAAAAGGGCAAATGATAAAAAACGGACAACCAACCCCTTCTATAACACCATGTGATTCTGAGCCTATTACATGTGATTTTTCTAAAAGAAATGTATGTAAAAGGGGCAGGTGTAATATGTAAGGAACATGCACTTTATTGGTTAATTTTATAATATTTTGGTCATTTTACTGTTCCTGGCGCATGCAGGGTTTGGGTTTTTTTAGCGTGTGTGTGTGTGTGTGTGTGTGTGTGTGTACGCGCATGTATGAGGACAGAGATTGATTTGGACGGCAGGACCATTTTATCATTGTTTTTTTTTTAATTCAAACCTCATTTTCAAAGAACACCTTTATCAAGGCAAATTGCTGTTTTTCAGTCACCTGCCACCTGCTCCTCATTTTGCTGAGAAAAGGCATGCCTGCTTGATTGAGAGAAAGAAGCAGATGGAGAGGGTGGCACTGAGGCTACAAATTAGAAATGTCCTCCTAGGCCTTTGTGATGATGGTTTCCAGACCTCAGGCATCAGATGAGCTGAAGGGCAGCCAGGACTTCAGAGTGCTCTCAGCCTTCATGTCCAGCCCTAATCCTTTGGAGTTCCTGAAAAAGATACGTTCTGCATTGCTTTACAAGGGAGTCTTCTAGAATTCATTTCTTTTGGTATCGCAGAGTGTATCATTACAGAAAGGCATGATAATAGTTGGGTCTATAAATTTATCAAGCAATTTCTTATCCTTAAGAAAAATTAAAAGGGAACACCAAATGAAAGCTAAGAGTCTTCTGTAGAGGAAGACATGACAAGAAGAGAGTGAAGAGACCACTGCCCGGTAACTTCTGGGTTGGTGCGTTCCACACAGATGGTCATCGTGGCCCTCCCTGCCAGAAAATGTGCTCTGCAAGTGTCCCCTCAACGAAAATGCAATAGAGTCAAGTTTGAAAAACAGCAATCAACAGTCCATGTGTTCTTGTGAAATGAATACATATGTAGGGTTTTTAAACCCTTTCCATTACTTGAATAATTCTGTGGGCCTTCTGAGTTTAATGGCCATATTTTTTCCCAATTTATTTTCCTCTCTCTGTATCCCCCCATCCTGCCTATTTTTTTAATTTTATAGATTATATTTGAATTGTTACATTATATACATATAATCTCCATTGAATGCAAAGTTTTCTGTATTCTCGCTGTTTAACAATTGACGTGTTTTTTATCCTTTCTTTCCCTGAAAGGTTTGTTATTTCTCTAAAGTATTTATGTATATAACGTCACTTTCTTACAATGTTTTATTGTTGATGTTGTGAGGTCCTTTTCGATTTATTCTTTTAAAGAAGGAATAGAGTTGCAACTGGAAAACACATAAAGACACCAGAAATATAGCTGGTAGTTGTTGATAGGAATCTGCACCATATATTGATGGTGGTTTTCCTGCCAAATTATGCATTAGTAACTCTCTCCTCAGAGAAACCCCTAAAGGTTCCCATTAGATCACAGTGTGACTAAAGGCGGATATCTGCTTGAGAATAAAAGCCTAGAATTTTATTTGCCAGTAATGAACCACAGCCAGGAAGTGTACATGCATTGCCCAGAACGGAACTCCTAATGGAGGCTGAGGCCACAGGGGAGGTCTCTGCCCCGGGCAAGTGCCCATAATAACTATGCTTAGGCTGCTGTTGCTTTGTGGCTATGGAGATCCTTAACACAGCAGCATCTGCCATAAACAAGCCTCCAAGGTTCTTACAAAAAGCATATTTATCCTGGGATGAAACACCTACTACAGTGCCCCTCACAACTGAAGGAGTTTGCAGATTTGCTTCCTGTTTGCTTTGGTTGATGTCCACTTTGCTCAGGGCTGACTGCGTACAAACTTGAGACTTAGGTTTTTGGTTCATCACAGCAGTGAGAGGAAGACATATATGCACAGACCTGAGGTGCTGTCACAGGCCAGAGTTTGGAGGGGACAGACAGTTGGGCAACCAAAAGGACACAAAAAAGGTGAACTGAGGCTATTTGCAGGTGCTCCAGAGGAGCTATGGATCCACTTGGCACACAGAAGCCATGGTTGGGTGTGACATCACTGCCAGGAGGCAGGTTGGAAAGAAACCACCTGCTAAAAGAATCTTTATGGTGTAATAATTATGTATATCTGTGCTGTCCTTCAGTAGTTTCCTTAAATGTCCAAATGTGTCATCCACACAGCTTTGTGATTCCTGGGTGTTTATGTGTTGTAAAGTGTTCTGTTGGGTTGTATATATGCCAGTGTGAGGAGGCTTGTCAAACAGGGTGATGTATTCTAGGGCTCATCCATCTAAACCACCCTGTCTTGTTGAAGCAGTTCCACTAGCAGTGTGATGGGGAAAGACAATGAACTGTGGCGGGAGTGGGGAAAGGATCTGCACGGAGGTCAAGAGAGTGGCACCAGTATCCCACGTATTAAGAAGTACAAGCGGTATCAACAGTGCGGCACTGTTCGCGCTCACCTGCCACCATGTTTAGTGCTCACTCTCACTGCATTTAACAGCAGTTGAAAGGCGAGGAAAATCTAATGCTGTGAAAAACACAAACTTTACCTTTTTAAAGAGTAGAGGGTACAGTCTTGCTCTGCCCTCCTTTTATTTAAATCATATTTTTTAGCATTTAACTGACCTGCCTAATTAAACATCTTCTATGTAGGGCCTATAGGGCCAGGGATATAGCTCAGTGGCACAAGCACCTGTCTGCACAGGGCCTATAATCTACCCCCACCAAGGGGTTTGCCAGCCCCCTAAAACTCCACATGCTTGAGTGCTCTTGAGTTATGTGTACAGCTGAGCAACATCCAAGGAAGGAATCAGAATAAGCTGAGGAGGACTCTTTAGACTTTTTCTCTTCAAACTTCTTGAAAACTTTATGCGGCTTTTTTCCCATTTGTGGTCATGGAAAACCTAGGCGTCAGACGCAGGTTTGGTAAGTTAACAGAGATGAGCAGAAAAAAGTTTGACCTTTTGTCCAATACTTCACTGCTTGCCCAGTACCTCTTTGTTTTTCTCAAAGATGGTCATAGTCTTTCAGTAACTCTGGAGGATGTGTGTGTGTGTGTGTGTGTGTGTGTGTGTGTGTGTGTGTGTTTATGCATGTATACAAAGAGTTGACATTTCAGTGCATGGGTTAAAAAGCCCCAGGAGCACACAGGATTGGAGCCGTGATCTGGATGGTTACCTGGTCAGCAGGAGAGAAATCCCACCCCCTTTCTGCTTTTTGGAAACTCTTAGAAGTAGTGTATACTATAGTAAACATACAGCGCTACAGTATGGTAGCATTCATCTCTCCTCATTTCGGTTGCCTTTCAAATTCTATTTAGAATATTTGTTTTGGATCATTTCTAGCATCTTAGCCTCTGTAGTCTTTTCTGCTCTTGTCCCAAATGGCATTTTCGTTTTCTCATTTTGAGAACTGCCAAGAGCTCTAAGGAGAGTCTGATGGTGACAGCCCAGGCTCTAAGGTCCCCTCCTGCTCATGGCTCCAGACAGATGCTGTCAAGTAGACCCGAAGCTTCCTGCGAGAAGCTTCTGAGACATACCAGCTCACAGGTGTCTTCATCTGCTTCTTTGGAGGATTTCATCCTGAAGTGACCTAGGCATGTTTGATAAAAATGTTTTGTGGGAATTGTTTATTGTTTTCCTAAGAAAGCATTATGCAAAAAGTCACTTTTAAGGGCATTTTAAAATTAAGCCATCTTTTGGCTTTTTCCGATAACTTTGTGGATACTTTGTTTACATTGTGAATATTAAAATATGCATCATCTTGTTGGCCACTCAGTCCTCCAGGCACTGAGGCCCTGACTGTCCTGTGAACCCTCACACAGCGCAATGCCATAATGTCAGCCTTTGTGGATAAGTGGTAAAACCTGGGGTTGACTCCCATCTGTGTCCTTCACTCCCATCCGGTATTCTCTCTGGAATAGTTGTCATTTCCTCAGTGATGATGTCTTAATAGTGATGGTCATAATGGTGAATGGCTAGTATGGTTTTCGTTTGTTTTGCTTTTTGATGATAGATAAGACGAAATTTTAGTTGTTTCTGCACCAGTCCAACTTGAAAGCATTGTGGATTTTGATTTCCCTTTCAAACTAAAAGATCAAGGCATGTATTAGACATAAGTGTATTTGTTGCCTCAACTCACCTGACACCATATTAGGAAAAGACCTGCCACTGACGCAGGAGGCTGCACACGCCTAACCTTTCTCCCAGGAGTTAGGGTCCCTTGCCACTGTGGAGAGCTTTTGCAAGGTGCTTCTGTACTTTTCCAGCCTGGAAGTGGAGGGTGACTGGGCCTGGCTTCTGCTGTGAAAAGAAAACCAGCCTCATCTTCTCAGTGCCCCAGAGACCTAGGACAGGATTTCTAAACTGGAATTATCATCCTTTATCAGCCTAAGGATCCCCCAAGAGGTATATGACTAGTGCTGCCGTCAGTGTCCTCACAGCAACGCTGGCGGCAGCATCCTATGCACATACGCAGAGCTGATACCCAGGGCTCCACTCAAGCTGAGGACGCAAACTGAAAACTGGGCAACACTGAAATCTTTCCTAATCAATAAGCCCACCAAAAAGTGTTTGTTTCTTATATTTTGTTGGATTTTGGTTTGCTTGGCATAGCTAAAGGTGCCTTTTTTTTTGGTTTTCTTTTGTACTTTATTTTGTAGGACTTGTTCTAAACATGGAAAACAAGTCCAGAAGACTCCCACTGACTGTTACCTTTGCCCTAGTTTTCCCTCAACTTTTATGCTCACATTTTATTAAATAAAGCAGGTGCTCCCTGGAATCTCTGGGACCTTTTTGAGGCATTTGAAGCAGAATATAGAGTGGTCTCATCTCCTTCCTTAATCTTCCTGGTGGTTGGGATGTTCCACTTGTATCATAGTTTTTTTATTACTGATGTGCTCTGCTGTTTTTAAATGTGAACTTGTGCGCAAATGTGCAGATGCAATGTTCTTGTTACAGACTGAATAAATTTTTATTTTGAAGATGAAATGTGTACTTCAAGTGCAGTGGGGCAGGGGCATGCTAGAGGTGGAGGGGTTGGACGAGGAGAACCCTGATAACAAACAGAACAGTGTTCATTGATTAATTCCAATCAAGCATACTCTGAAGACCTATAGAGAAAAAAATAAACACAACCTTCTACAGAAGAAAAGATGGGTAGGAGATAAGATGACTAAAAATCGCTAAAGACCAAGTGACCAATCTGGGAACTTGCCTGGTCAAAGAGGCATTTGTCAAAGCCATCATGTGAATATTAGACTGAATAAGCAAAGGGACAAAAATCTCCTCTACCATCTGTGGTGCGGAGTGACTAATCTGGGACAGCTGCAGTGACCTGCCCAGCAGAGACTAGATTTGTTAGGTGAGTGACCTCTCTGGACATCAGTGAGGGAGAACTAACAAGCCTTCAGCACAAAAAGCTTCTCGACTCACTGAAAGAAAGGGGAGAAACATTTGATGTCAGCAGTACAGGAGGGAGAGAGAACCAACAGGCAGTTGTGACAGAAGAGCTAGAGACATTGGCCCCACTTCCACTTTTCCAGAGAAAACCCTGTCTTGAACTAAAATGAAGTCACTATGCTTCTTTTTGAGTCCCATTTTTCAAGTGAAACAGGGACACACTGCTGGTCTCTAGAGGGAGTGCATAATGGTAAAGGTAAGGTCACATCACAAAATATCCTACAAGTGCTTGGGGTCTCTGACCAATCTAGATAGCTCAACCTTGGCTTTCAAGCTGAAGCAGGTGGACAAAGTCATGGCCACATTGGCAGAACACTTGTAGAAAATGGCTTCATGCCTATATCCCAGCACTCAGGAGGCTGAGACAGGAGGATTGCTGTAAGTTCAAAGCCAGCCTGGGCTACATAATGAGACTGTCTTAAAAAAAAACAAAAGTGTGGGCTGGGGATATAGCTCAGTGGCATAAGTGTCTGCCTGGCAAGCACAAGGTCCTGAGTTCGATTTCTGATATAAAAAAAAAAAAAAAGTAGCTTTATGAGATGAGATTCATGCCTGTCTGGTGGATTGCAGTCCAAAGCCCAATTGACAGTTCATAGGGAAGCTCCAAGCTCAAATAGCTTTTTCCCACACTGGTTCATGCTTTGGCTCCACCCAGTCACAACTTTGTCAAGCTTTGGCAGGAAAGCTGGGAGGCTGTCGGCTAACCAGCCAGGCCCGTGCAAATACCTATGAATCCCTGCTCATGTACCCAGATAGCACCCTTCTTCCCAGATGACAGAACAAAAGGCTGGATGGACTGAAGGATTTAGAGTCCCCAGTTCTCTTTAAAGTAAAGAGGAAAGGTAGGGATAATGTTTCAGAGTAGGAGACAACATATCAATCTCCTTGCCCACAAATGATGCAGAATTAGAACTTGACCTGGGGTCCTCTTCATTTTACAGCCGAGAGTGCAAAAACAGGATGACTAGGCCAGGACTAGAACCTCAGCTTTCTAATTAGACCAGGTAGCCCCTCCTCTGTGCCATACAGCATAACTCTGAGGATCAGCACTTGTGAGATAAAGTGGCACTGTCCTTCAAGGAGGGGCAGAAATACATAATACTGAAAAACACGGACCTGGATGCTAGACCCTAGGGACAAGAATCTCAGCCCCATCAACCCGTTGAGTGTTAGGTATAGGTAAACAGCAAGTGCTTTGGTTTCCTCCTCTGTAAAATGGAATAATAACAGTACCCATCTCTGAAGGTTGTTACCAGAATGTTATTAATATGTGTAAAGCCCCTAGAACAGTGTCTAACTTACAGTGTATCAGTCAGGGTTCTACTAGAGAAACATATAACACAAGATACACAAATGTATAAGGAATTACAAGACTGGCTTATGATGGGCAGCCACAGGGTTGGATGAGGAAGCGTGCAGAGGGTTTCTTCACAGTGGAGGCTGAAGGTCAGTCCAAGGTCTGGGGCTCACTTCAGTGTTCTGTGCAAGTCCGTATCAGGACAGAAGGCTGATGAGTCTGTGCTAGAAGCCAGGAGACAACGTCCAAGCTGAAAGCGAAGACTGGAGCTCCTCTGAACAGAAACCCATCTGTCCTTCCTTATTTCCCTTTTATACCATCTAGGTGACAAGGTGGGCTCTCTATACCCTAGGGGGGGTCCTCTAGACCCTAGGGTGCAGACAGCCAGCCTAGAGCAGGTCCTCTACACCTAAGGTGTACAATTGCTGAACTTCTTGAGTTGACACAATCAATCAACCACTACAGGGAACTACTATTATTATAAAGGAGCAATTGTGTTACTCAGGTCCTTTCTTCCTAGTTGTGTACCTGGACTCTTCATCCTTTCTGAAGAAATCCAGTGTGCAGACACTGGGTAAACAACAGCACTGGCTATATTTTGATCAGATTATTTTTTATTTCCTCCTTGACCTTGGCCAATATTCAGATCCACGGGTCTTGGAAAAAGAGGAGAGGCTCCCTGGAACACAGTTGGGCATCAGCTCAAAGGGGGCCCAGCTGACATTAAGAGTCAAGCTAACATTAGCGTCTGAGCTGGCTCTTCTGGCCCCTAAAACTGTGGCCAAAAACTTGCGCCAGCCTTTCCCCCGACCCGCTCCGATCCTGAATGGGGGCTGGGGAGCTCAAGGTAAGTTCACTTTTTCACTTCTCTGCTTTCAAGCTGCTTTCTGCCCTGCTCCAAGGAATGAATCCTCTCTAACAGGGTGAAATGACTAGCACAGTGCTAGCATTTGAGGTACTCCGTGATGGCTATCGCCATTAATAACAGCAGTGACATTCACAATTCCTTGCCAGGTACTCTCTCATTTTTCTCGGGGGGCCCTCATCCAATGGCTGAGACCATTCCCCCCAGCGCATCTTCTGGGGCCTCCTCCCAGGGGTCCGGATTGCAGTCCCGCAACCCCGGCCCGCAGGGACAGGCTAAGTTGGGAGCGCGATTGCGGCAGGAATGCGGCGCCAAGGCGCCTGATGCCCCAGCGGAGCGTGCCCCTCGCCGGCTCCCTCTCTCAGCGTCCCGCTCTGGCTCTGGGAACATGGACTCCCAAGCCTGCTGGAGGCGCGGAGCCCCCGCAAACACACACACACAAACACACACACACACTTACTTCTGAGTCCCACAGACGTCGGAGAGAAGTCTGCGGCGCTCGCTTTTCCCGCCGCTGGAGGGGGCGGGGCCGCCTCGGCCTTGGCCCCGCCCCCGACCAGGCCCCGCCCCCCGGGTTGATGGCAGCGGCAGCTGGGTCTGCAGCGAAGCGCGGCCCTGGAGAGCCGCAGGCAGCGGCCGGAACGCGCAGCCCGCACCGGAGCTCAGACGCCGCGGACAGAGGCAGTTCCTTCGCGCCCGGCGCACTCCCGACCGGCTCCGCAGAGGAGTCGCAGCGTGAGCACAACCCGCTCCCGGCTTAGGACCAGGTACACCCTCTCGCCGCCGCCCGCAGCCATCGGAGCGGGCGGGGTCTCCGGAGGGGGCAGAGGTCTGCGCCCTCCCCCCGCCGCCAAATCGGTCCCCGGCAGAGAAGACTTGGTGTCTATATTTGGCCGGACCGGGGCCGCGCGCAGACACCTCGTCTCGCAAGAATGCAGTGTCCGGACCGGAGGCCGGAGGAGGGTGCGGGGAGGCCGGGCCTCAGGCCTGGGGCTGCAGGAGCGGCTTGAAGGGCACAGGGATGCCCTGGGCTGAGGAGGGGCAGGAGCCAGTGCCCCTTTGCCAGAGCTTGGTGTGGCCCTGCGGGAAGAGTAGCGCAGCACGCGCCCTGGCTAGAGAAGAGGCACCTCACCCTTCCCATCTCTGCAAATCTGGTCCTGGCGGGGAGCGGAGGGTCGAGGCCCCCAACCCCAGGAGAGTTTACCAAGAGGAAGCCCCAGTCTAGGCGGGGACCCAAAGCACGGTAGGTAGAGGCCAGAAGACCATGGTTGGGGCTCTTGCAGAAGCCAGTGCAGGGAGGAATGGAAGGCGAGATCCGCCTTACGTGATGCCCCACCACCGTCCGCGGCAGCATGGGAGGGAACTGCTGAAAACAGTTGCAGGAAGGACGCAGGTTAGCTGACAGGAGGAACCGCACCCTTGGCAGATTTTTGTAAGAAAACAAAACTCCATCTGTGTCAGAGATACAGGTTTGGGATTAGGGGAGAGGGGCTGCAGTCCTAGCCCCATAACTGGCCTTCAGCCAAGATCCAGTGGCCAAGGCCTCTGATTCTGGACAAGGTGCCTCTAGGAAACATAACACTTCAGTGAAGAGATGCTCACCCAAGGTGCTAGCAAGAAGGCGACGTGGCATCAAGCTGTCCCCAAAACATTTTGCCTTCTAGGAAGCTTTCAGACCCTGTCAGCCTCCTCTGTACCCCAGCCCAGGTCTCTAAGCCCTTCACATTAAACAGCATTTGACAAGTGGCAAAGAACTGCCCCATACTTTCATAACTTTGAAGAAAACTACAGGACTTGACTCTTGGTCAAATAACCCTTCTCATTTGCCTCCCCACCCACACCTCCTCCCTCCCACAGCTCACAGAACTAAGGACCAAAGGCATTTCCGAGCACCAAGATCCTCCACCTCTGCTGCAGCCATGAGCCGGCGCGTGGTTCGGCAGAGCAAGTTCCGCCATGTGTTTGGGCAGGCAGCAAAGGCCGATCAGACCTACGAGGACATCCGTGTGTCCAAGGTCACATGGGACAGCTCCTTCTGTGCTGTCAACCCCAAATTCCTAGCCATTATCGTGGAGGCTGGAGGTGGGGGTGCTTTCATCGTCCTGCCTCTGGCCAAGGTGAGGGATGAGAGGAAAGAAGCAAGCGGGAGGACACCAGCCAGGGCCGCTGTGTTCTCACCTAGTTCCATTCCTCAGTGAGGAGGGCAGTTTGTGTGGATTGGCTATTTCCTGCTCCCCAAGCCCTCGGGTACTAGTGGAGATGCTTCTTCACTCCATCCTGAGTGTCACAGTGGCCTACACCTGCTCCCTATCCTGCCACCTCACCGACAGCACCCTGTTTCTGGCGGGGACCGGGGAGTCAGGTGATAAACATTGTTGGGAGGCAGCAGAGGTTTATTCTGTCTCTGTCTTGCCTGATGCCACACCCCCTCACGATTTGTGGCTGGAGATCCTCCTTCCCAGCCCAAGATGACTAATCAAGTCACAGCTCAGAGCCACACACTGAGAACAGTGTCAGGCCCTATCCAAAGAGGCCGTAGCTACTTCCTCACTCTTGTTCTTTTTTGTTTGTTTTCCCCAGTACTGGGGATTGAACCCAGAGCCTTTGCATTGAGCTACATCCCCAGCCCTCCTTTATTTTGAGATAGGGTCTCACTAACTCACTAAGCTACAGGCATGTACCACCGTGCCCAGCTCCACAATGGTTCTTACAATGAGGTAGAATGTATGAAAGGCGGGATGCATAACACATAAGGCCAGAACTCTCCTATCCTAGGGAAAGGGGCTAGGCAGTAACTGCCACCTTTGCTGTGGAACCTCAAGACTCTTGACCTCTATTCTGGCCCCTATACCTTGTTGGGGAGGCCCCAAGAGTGACAGGGTTAAGCCTGACAACAACGAGTGACTCACCCTAGACAATGCAGACATCATCCAGAGACACCATCCCCAAGGCTCAAATTTCAGTTAGAGCTGCCTCCTTCCCCAGTACGACTGCCATTTAAATGCCACATAGTCACCGCCTCCACTACTGCCTAGTCTGGGCCGGTGCCAGCCCCTGCAGAGGCCTCAGGACCTCTATAAGGGGCACATGGAGCTCAGAAAAGGTAGTATCCACCCCCTAGCCCCAGTTTGGGAGACAGTAGGCACCAGGATTGCCTACTACTTGTGGTTCCAAGGTGAAACCAGTGACAAGAGAGAAACCTGCCAAGAGTGGCCAGGAGCACTGTCCTGAGGATTACCTCACCTTGAACTCTTCCACCAGGGCCTTCCCAAAGACATTCCAATTGGGGGAACAGGCTCAAGAACTACTTCTTCCAAGTAGGTGACTTTTTAAAAAAGTGCTGGACTGAGAGGTAAAGTCTGGGCTCCACCAGTATCTTATGGATCTCTGCTTAAGTCATTTTACTTCTCAGTGCCAGTTTCCCTAATATTAAATGATTTCAACTCTGCCTTCAGCACAGTGCAGAGGAAGTGGACTGAAGGGGGTTACAGGTGTAGAGAGAGTCTACACAGAGAAATGGATGATAGAGAGCTGAGATATAAACAGATCTGCTGCTGCCCGCTCCCAAAACACACACACACAGTGCGGGCTGGGGCTGTAGCCCAGTGGAAGAGTGCTTGCCTAGCATGTGCAAGGGCCTAGGTTCAATCCCCAGGACCACAAACACACATACATGCACTCACATATACACACACATACCACAGGAAGGTGGCCCCATAGCTCTCTCTGACCCCTCCAGACAGGACGAGTGGATAAGAACTACCCGCTGGTCACTGGGCACACTGCACCTGTGCTGGATATTGACTGGTGCCCACACAATGACAATGTCATCGCCAGTGCCTCAGACGACACCACCATCATGGTAGGAGCCGTGTGGATGCTGCCGGGCAGCTGGGCAAGGGGGCAGGGAGGGCTGCCTCACCTGTGCTCGGGAAGGTGCTAGAGAGGTGCCGACTCCCAGAGCCCTTCCCTGCCAGCTCCCAGGCTATTCTTAGCTACATGTCCACTCCCTCCCAGGATGCACTGCTTAGGACTAATTATAGTTATGAACAACTTGGGGCCCTGGGGGCGGGTACTTTTAAGTCTCTGGTGGTTTGAATGGAGAGGTAGGTCTCTGGAGAGCTGTAGTGCCCCCTCCTGGTTCCCAGCCGCTCTGCCCTAGGCGGACTTTACCATATCTTGCCTGTATTTGACGCCTACCATTCAAGATAACCAGTATGGTTAAGGGGAGGAGGGGAGGAACAGAACTGCGTCCTTATCCCACCTACTTTTTACCTTTTCTCCCTACCTAGGTGTGGCAGATTCCAGACTATACCCCTGTGCGAAACATTACAGAACCTATCATCACCCTCGAGGGCCACTCCAAGCGTGTGGGCATCCTCTCCTGGCACCCTACTGCCAGGAACGTCCTGCTCAGTGCAGGTCTGGGGGCCTAGGGAGGGTCCCTACTGTAGAGGAGGCCCAGGGTAACAGAGGTGGGGCCCAGGTGACCATGCCTGGCCATTCTGCACAGGTGGTGACAATGTGATCATCATCTGGAATGTGGGCACTGGGGAGGTGCTGCTGAGCCTAGACGACATGCATCCGGACGTCATCCACAGTGTGTGCTGGAACAGCAATGGCAGCCTGCTGGCCACCACCTGCAAGGACAAGACACTGCGCATTATCAATCCCAGAAAGGGCCAAGTGGTGGCGGTGAGTGCCTGGCCCGCCCACTCCCGAGTAGCCCTCACCCACTGACCAGCTGTTACCACCTAATACAGTCAGCAGAGCCCCCGATCCCGACTTTCATCTGCCCCATCCCTTGCTCCAGAGAGCTCGTCCTCTCCCCAACTCTCTGTAACCACAGTTCCCTGCCCTACCTAAGCCCCAGCCTGCAGTTCCTGCCTTGCTCCTGTTCCCTCCCCTCCCCTGCATCTCGGAAGCCCAGAGGAGGGCTCCTTGCTTTGAGATTGAGGAGGGGAGAAGCTGGAAACCACCCTCCCACCAGAACCTGCATGAGACCTGAGCTCCGGGACCCTGTCCTCTCAGCCGGCAGCCAGCGCCATCGTGCAGGGTCTGGGGCCAGCCCACTGGCTCCAGAGCTGGCACTTTCCCGCCCTTGTTGACCCGCTGGGTGGGCGGGGTGGTGAGGTAGTAGAGGCAAGCCTCGTGCGTTACTTGTCCCCATGGGTGCCCTAGGAGCCTCACCAGCCTCAGTCTAACATGGGGTGTGCGGGGCGGGTGCATGTCTGTGCGTGGAGCAGGCGCGTGGAGCGCGGCCGCGTGTGGGTGGGCAGACGGGCGCTCTAACCCACTAACCCCGCGAGCAGGAGCGAGCCCGGCCTCACGAGGGCGCCCGCCCGCTGCGGGCCGTCTTCACCGCAGATGGGAAGCTGCTCAGCACCGGCTTCAGCAGGATGAGTGAGCGGCAACTCGCGCTCTGGGACCCGGTAGGCCAGGCCGCGCTGGGCGCGCTCGCTCGCTCCTTCACTGGGTCAGCCAGGAGCGCTCTGGCCTGCGGTGGCCCGAACGGAGCAAGGAGCTCCCATTTGGGAAAAGCCTCGCTGCGACCCCAGGGAGCCCGCAGACGTCGCCTGCTGTAGGGATCCACCTTTGAGGGCAGTTATGGGCTCCGGATCCGAGAGCCGCACGCCTCCAGCCGAGCGTTCTCCAGGCCGGGGGCCAGCCACTGGCTCTAGGGAAGCTGAGTTCTTTAGGACCCCTGTGTCTCTCCCTCACCTGCATCCTGCACCCAAGTCAGCAAGCTGTTTTCTCGCTTGCTCGGCCCTCCATACTCCCCAGGGCAGGCAGCCGGGTGATGCCCCTCCCTTCTCCCCCCTTCCCCCAGGAGAGGTTTGCAGCCCACGAGGGGATGAGGCCCATGCGGGCTGTCTTCACGCGCCAGGGTCACATCTTCACCACGGGATTCACTCGCATGAGCCAGCGAGAGCTGGGCCTGTGGGACCCGGTAACGCAGCTGGAGGCTCGGGGTGTGTGCCCCGGGGACTGGCATCACACGAGAGGGGCCAGGCGCCCCCCCGCCGCAGGTTATGCCCACCTAGACTGGGCTGGAGGCCGTGCCGCCTCCGCAGTGCCCGCCTCCCCACACCCACCCTTCGCCCAGCTTAGCTGCGTCGCCTGGAGAAGCTCACACTGGCGCCCGCACCCGGTGATGCCGAGTCCCTGGGGGTGGTTTGCAGTGACTGCATGCAGTGGCGGTGGCGCAGGGGGTACCTGTGCCGGGGCAGGGTGGCAGTGTGTCCAGGGGAGGGGCCTGTAACTCTCACCAGAGCTGCCTTGGGAACTGGTGGGATTTGGAGGGGGGCAGGAAACTTAAAGATGGTTCCGAGGTAGCAGAAGTAGCAGGGAGGATGGGAAGGGCTGGTCACGCCTCCTGTGCTCGGGCAGAACAACTTCGAGGAACCAGTGGCACTGCAGGAGATGGACACAAGCAACGGAGTTCTACTGCCCTTCTACGACCCGGACTCCAGCATCATCTACTTGTGTGGCAAGGTGCTGACAGGGCCGGGAAGAGCAGGGAGCAGGGTGGAGGAGGTGTGGGGGACTGCCCGAGCACCCCTCTGACCGACTGGCTTTTCCAGGGCGACAGCAGCATCCGGTACTTTGAGATTACCGATGAGCCACCTTTTGTGCACTATCTCAACACATTCAGCAGCAAAGAGCCACAGCGGGGCATGGGTTTCATGCCCAAACGGGGACTGGAAGTCAGCAAGTGTGAGATCGCCCGGTCAGCAGCCGTGGCCCCCGTGCATGCCTCCTTCTGCCCGTACTCACGTCGGGTCTTAACCACCGGGCTGCCCCTACAGGGCTGTTTTGGAAGAAAAAATGAGGGTGGGGATCAAACTGGTCTGCTTTAAAGTTCACCTGCCCCAAAGTTCACTCACCTGACATTATCCAAATCTAGGTTTCCTGTAAAATAATGGCAAACATCCGATCAGAGGTGATTTACGCTGAAATTGGCAATGCATGTGAAATACAACACACTTGGTAGACATTCAGCAAGTGTTGGCCTCCAACCCATTGGTCCCAGACGAGAGAAGTTAAGGGGGTCGGAGTCTGCGGGGCTTGATGAACCCGGTTCCCTTTACAGGTTCTACAAGCTGCACGAGAGAAAGTGTGAGCCCATCATCATGACAGTGCCGCGCAAGGTGAGTGGCTGGGAGGGTGGCACAAGGCCAAGGCGGAAGGGGCGCGGCAGGCCTGGCACTCCAGCTCACACGCCTCCGCCTGTCCACCGACCCTCGCAGTCAGACCTGTTCCAGGATGATCTCTACCCTGATACCCCCGGGCCTGAGGCTGCCCTGGAAGCAGAGGAATGGCTGTCGGGTCAGGACGCCGAACCTATACTCATTTCGCTGAGGGACGGCTATGTGCCTCCTAAGCACCGAGAGCTCCGGGTCACTAAACGCAACATCCTGGACGCGCGCCCACCCTCTGGCCCCCGCCGCAGCCAGTCAGCCAGTGATTCCCCCTTGTCGGTAAGATCCTGCCCTGTTCCACCCAGGCCCAGCCTACACCTCCTCTACTCTCACCCCGGACCGGGCCTCTTCCTCTTCCGTGTCCCAGCAGCAGCACACTCTGGAGACACTGCTGGAGGAGATAAAGGCCCTTCGCGAGCGGGTGCAGGCCCAGGAGCAGCGCATCACAGCGTTGGAGAACATGCTGTGCGAGCTAGTGGACGGCACCGACTAGTGCGTCCCTGTGTGCCTGAGCGGCTGTGCTCAGGGCCCAGCAGGCAGGACGCACGGGTCGCACCGACCCACTCCAGCCTTTGGCCTGCGACTCACCTTCCTGGGCTGGGGCTGGAGGCTGGACTGGGAAGGAAATTATGCCCCTCGTGGGAGACCTGGAAGGGAGCTCATGGGAGACCCAAGTTTGTCTGGCAGGGGCTGGACTGCACTCTTGGTCTGGGACTTGGCTGGAGCTGGCCTAAGGGGGCCCTTGGGGTAACAGGGGGCCTGAGCAATGGTGCTGCTTGGCGAGGCGGTCTCCTCCTCTGTCCCTGGCCCCAGGCAGGGAAAATGCTTAGTTATTAGCAGAATGCTTGGGGGTATTGGGGAGTTTGGGCTTGACCTCAAAGAGGTGGCCACTCCTTGGGTCTCCCCAGACTAAGTGGGGAAAATTAGGGCGCTTCTCCTTATCAGCTCACTTGATTCCACCAACCTAAGTGGTAAACCCCAATTCTAAGTTGGCAGCACCCCAGTTCTGCAGATATATACACAACCTGCACAACCTCAACCCAGGAGTCTCTGGCAGATGATAGGGCAGTTTCCTCCAGATAGTCTGCCACAGAAATCTCAGAACTGGCATAAGAAAGCAGGCTTACCCCACACACACACACACACACGCACGCACGCCCTCTGCTGTGGCCTTAACTCTGTGAGGAAAACAAGACATAATGACATGTTTTACTAAGTGCAAGTCTGTGCCTCCTGCACGGCTCGGGGCAGGCAAAGGGGAAACATTCCCAGGCTACTCGGAGAACCTAGCAAACACAAGCCTGGGCTCAGGACTCACCAAACAGCCTCTTATCCTAGAGTCGTCCTCTGAACTGAAGTTCAACAGGACGCCCCATCCCACCCACCCTGGGCACTCCTCCCCAGTAAAATCGGGAAAAAGCCTCCGGTTTGAAGCCTCTTTATTTGTGCCTCAGAATCAGTCTGGTGCCCCTGGCATCAGGGAAGGGAGTGGAAGGAACAGTTTCTCTTTGTTGCTCTTTTCTTCTGTCCCCTTTTTGTGTTCCTTCTGAGCCTCACTAGCTGAGCCAGGAAGGCCCGTCTGAGAGGCCCAGGACAAGGATGTGCAGTGGGCCGGGGCCCCAGCCCCTGGAGGGGCCTGTGCTTCTCTGGGTGGGTGAGGCAGGGCAGGGAAGAGCCGGGGGTTAGCACCATTGGATGAAGGGTTTTAGCCCCTAAGTAGGGGCAAGAGGGATGCACAACCACAGAGGGCTAGCAGCAGCTGGTAGGAAGGGGTGGGTGGTGGTGCCAGGGCCCTAAGTGATCCTTGTATCCAGTTTTGTGTCGGGTCTAGTGCTTGCCCCCAGCCGAATATGCCCCCCCATTCTCCAAGGCACCAGGAGGGAATCAGGCCTTTCCGGGGCCAGGGGGCCACCTTGGACCCACTCCCTGATCACAAAACTGTGCCTTGGGGGTGGAAACTTCAACTTCTGGCTGCCCAAGGAGAAGCTGGGACCACCCTGAGACCCAGGATGGGTGTGGGGGCTGGGGGAGCCGGGCACCCCGCTAAGTGCACTTGACGCTGAAATGCCGGGGTGGGGAGGGGCTGGGCCCTTGACGTGCTGGTTTGTGTCTGGGACAAAGCAGCGACACAGCACGTGGGGAACTCAGCTGCCCCCCAGGGGTGAAGAGCAGAGATGCAAAGGCTTCAGGGGTAGTGTCCCGGTGTGGGGTCAGTGAGCAGAAAGGAGGACCGGCCAGAAGGAGCAAGGGATGGGGACAATGCTCCTCTGAGGATTCGTCTTCCCTTCAGAACCATCTACCTCGCCCTCGGACAGATCGGGGCCCAGAGGAGCAGATTAAGAGTCAGGATTCAGCAAAGCAGGGGGACCGGGCCGTGCCAGTCACCTCCAGGGCTCTGTCCTGGAAAGTTACCCTGCGCCCATGTGGAACCCCTCTCCACCTCGTGCCTGGTGTATTGCTACACCCCCCGAGGCGGCGGCTCCACGCTCTAGCCGCAGCCGCTGCTATGCAGGCGAGCCCGCCGGAGTGTCCCGCTCGGGTCCGGGGCCCGGCAGGGGCCGAGTGGGTGAGGGGCCCGGCAGGGGGCGCTACTGCTCGGTCAGCGAGAGTCTCAGGATGCGCTCCAGTTCCTCCTCCTCCTGGCGCGCGCGCCGCCGCCGCTCCTCCTGCTCCTGAGCCGACAGCTCCATGGCCAGCCGCAGCTGCTCGTCGTAGCTCTGGAACACGTGGCCGCCGGAGGCGGGGCGGGGACTGGGTCGCGGGCTGGGCACCCGCGCTGGGGGCGCGTGCTGGCGCTGCGGCGTGGGCGGGGCGCTCCTGGGGGCGGAGAGGATTCTTCTAGCGCTCTGGCAGCGCACCAGCCCAAGTGCCTGGGCGGTGCACTGCGCAAAGGCCAAAAGGCAGAGCGGCCGCCACCCGCTAGGGGAAACGAAGAGTCTTGCGTCCAAGTCGGGCGCCGCAGATTCTCTGGGCCTAGCGGGGTTCCCGTGCCATCGCCCAGTGTGACAGGGTACTGGAGTTCTGTGTGCGTGTGTGTTGGGGGTGGGTGAGAACAGGCATCTCCAAGTGCTCTTCTGCCTAACCGACACTGACCTGTCCTGTCGGCGACCCTCGTAGGACATGGGGTGAGTGCCTGGTTTGCTGTTGGTTAGCGCCTCCCAGATGGTGACCTGAAGCGAGGAGCCCGTTAGCTGTGCGTCCCGCACTCACGTGGCCGGGTGGCGAGGCTGCGGGACGCACCTGATCATACTCACTGCCTGCCTCAAGCAGGCTCTGCTGGATGGCGAACTGTAGCAGGTCGTCGTCCTCGTCGCGGGTCGCCGCCTCCCGCTGGCCGCCCAGCACGCTGTAGCCCCGTGGGGCCTCGAACAAGGCCGGGGAGATCTCGCAGCCGCGGCACGAGGCTGAGGACGTGAGGCTGCCGGTCACGTCACGCGTGGGCCGGGCCTCCAGCGCACCGGGGTGGGGCGGGGAAGCCAGGCCGGCTCAGAGCGAGCGGGAAGGAAGCTGGGGTTGGCAAGGCACAGGGAGTGGGGAGTCTCACTCGTCGAACTGGAGCTGCTGACGCTGGAGGAGTCGCTGCCTGGGGAAGGGGTCTCACTGCTGGGGCTACCTCGCACCGATGGCACCGGCTCGTCGCAGCCATTGAGGTTCCCGAAGGTGATGCGCGCATTGAGGATGTGGAAGATCGGGATTTCTAAGGATGAGCAAACCATCAGGCACCAATGCCCACTCCCTCCTACCTCAGGGCGGCAACCCTGACCTCATTTGAACCCCACCCGACTGCCCAAAAGGGTTGAGGGGAAATGGCTGTGGGGTCTCACCAATCTTGACGGGAAACCCTGGAGGCAGGCGCAGGGTGATGAAGTCCCGGAGCTTGGCAAATAGCGCATTGCTGACCGCCATGAGGTCAATGATGGGGGCCACCTGCTCACACAGGGACAGGGGATGCTCCTCACACAGCCACAGCTTGGCCTTGAACCTGCCCCCCCAGATCCCAGGGGTGAGGGACGCTGCAGGAAGCCATGGCCTCCCGGCACCTCCTGGAGCCCCAGCCCAACCCTCCCCAGCAGGAGCAGGGGGCCTCACTTCTGCGTCTTGGTGGTCAGTTCCATGGGGCGGCCCATGTCCCGGTTGCCAAGTTCAAAGTTGGGGTTGAAGTATTCTTCTGCGGTGATGGCAGTGGGGTTGGCCTGGCTCAGGGTCTGAGTGATCAGGGTCTGTACATGGGGAGGGGCTATCAGCCTTTCTCAGTCCCTTATGCCAAGCCAGCCAGTTGATACCATAGGGCTCCCATCTCTCCCCCTGCCAGTGGGGCAAGGTTTTAAGCATTATGCAAAGGAGGGCCACACAGGCCGTGCTAAGCAGGACACCCTCCAAGCCTCCTCCTGAGCCACATCCACACCCCAACACACAAGTGATGCCCTTGCACACACTCACCCCATTTTGGGGGCCCCCATGCTGCTCAGCAATTCCCAGGAAGGACTGGAGAGGTGTCTTACAGCCTACAAGAAATATGGTATCTCAGAGGACACTGCAGCCCCTACACATGTGGAAGTGACAGTACTCAGGCCCTAGCGATGAGGCTGGTTCCTTGGGAGTGGGGCTGCTCGCCTACAGCACCTGCATCTATAAGTGACTGAGGACTCCATGGGCCAGGGGCCAGGACCTCTGTAAGTATAGCTGGACTAGAAGTAGGCTTGGGTCTTGGGAGAAACATCCAAAGGTGCCACAATCCAGGCTGGGGACATTGGGCAGTAACATAACTTCCTTTTGTGGACAGTTTGAGGGTGTGTGTGTGTGTGTTTCCTTCCAAGCCCTTGTATATTATTGACTTCATTTTTTCCTCTGTGAGGTAGGAATTATGTATTTCTACTTGAGACGAGTTAGCTGATGCCCAGACAATCAGGTGTGGTGTCACTGGGCCCACAGAAGCAAGGTCCCCTGACTTTCTGCCCAGATTATCTCCCACTAGAGTAAAATGGCCAATAAATGGCATATGTAACATTTCTTTCTCCTTCTGAACACAATGCAAACATTAGCAATCAGTTGTCGCCTGCCTTTCCACTGAACCCAAATGAGCACTTTTAGAATCTTCTTGGCAGTGTTGTAGGCAGCTGCTACCAATCATTAGGGCTTAGCACTTGAATTGAAACCTATTGGCTTGAATAAACCACCTTGGCTCTTACTGGGCTGCCAAAGAGAATACTGAGGGAGAAACTGAAGTGGAAGCTGGCTCCTCCCGTCCCGTACCTCCCTCACACCTTGACTACATTACCTTTGACCTTCCCCTTGTGCTGTTCTGAAAGATGCTCTGTCCGGGTCCGGGTGATGAGCTCCACATTGGATGCCCCATATACCTGGAGACACAGAGGGAAGGACTCAGAAATAGCTCTAGTAGCCCTACCCAAAGGAATTCTAAGCATCCTGCATAAAGGGTCCTCTTTGCTCCAGTTCTGAAGCTTTGGAGCAAGTAAATATGTCAAATGGTTCATTTGCTTATTTATTCAACAAACATTCTTTTAAGGGGGAGTTATGTGCCAGCCACTGAGGTGGGCATCAGGGTTACAGTGTTGAACAAGCCAGATATAATTCCTGTCCTAAAGGGCTAGGCGTATAGCTCAGGGGCACAGTGCCTGCCTAGCAAGTGCAAGGTCCTGAGTTTGATTGCCAGTTCAAAAAAAAAACAATCTTGCCTTCATGAGGGCCATATTCTAGCTGGAGAGACAAGAAGATGGACAGCTATAATTCCGTGTGACACATGCTTTGATAGGGAGTAGCAAAGGGCCTTATCCCAACCTACAGAACCAGGGAGGGCAGCCAGGAGACAGCGCGTACGAGAGCTTGTAGCACTGGCCATTTCCTTCATTGAATGGCAGCACCATGTGCTGGGAGAAGTGCACGTTCTAGAGTGACAGTCACAGTCTTAAGGGTAAAGGCCCAGCTTTGGAGTCAGGCAGCCGGGGTCAGACCCCCAGCTCTGGCACTTATAGCTGTATAAGTTGTAGTTACTTTCAATGGCTTTACAAGGTCATTGAATCACTTCAAGCTCCATTTCCTCATCATAAAAATGGGCCAATAATCCCTACTTTGTGGAGTTATAAAGATCAAATAGAATACCATGCAAGTGACTCAGTAAATATATGGAAATAGGAATAATAATAGCACCTGCCTGAAAGGGTTACGGTAAAGCGTAAATGAGGCCACGCATGTGGCTCACTCATGCACACGTGTATATATATATGTCCACACATTGGTATAAAATGCCAGGACAGTGCTTTGAACATGAGTAGAGCAATTCTCATCCAGGTGACTGTTAGCCTCACGCTCCTTCCTGCATGCCACATGGCCTCTGCACCTCCAAGGCTGGGGAAGGAGTCAGGAAACCCCTGCCCACTTTGCTGTAGACAAGAGCACAGTT